AATTTGGTGGCCCGCATAATTTTGCTGTGATTTGCACTTCCTAATTAATTATTTTTCGTAACTAAAAGCGGATCAGCTGAGTCAGCAAATAACACGCACAAAACCCACACGCTCCCAGAAATGTTGGCAGCAGTCAACGAGCCAGTCCTTCAATCGCACACAAAAGAAAAGTTTGACAACTTTCTCCTTTTTTAGGCCCAACAGTGCACATACTAAGTATATACATATGGGCGGAAGTGGTGGGTGGGTGGTATGTGTGCTTCCGGGGATAAAAGCGCAGGTTTGTTCTTTGTTTTAGGCGAACCGTATGTACGCAAAACTTTTAAGGCGTAGAGAATACACAAACAGTCCTGTTTTCAGTAAGCACGAAATAAAGTTTTAACAATTATGTATGTAATAAGTTGTTTCGCTTTTGCACTGTAACTGCATCATCGTCCTTAACCTTAGGCCACAACACTATATTTTAGCCAGCAAAAAGGCCTGTAAAACGACTGCAATAATCCCACTCAATAGCGTTACAAAAAAATCGCAAACACAAACATTTCATCAACATTAACGCAATCAAAACAGGCAATATTTTCTTTGTGCAATCTGTCGCCAACTTATATGGATTCTACATTATTTTGTACAAATTGCTGTTATTGTTGTTATTTAATAAATATTGTTGTACAAGTATTTGATGGGATTTGGTTCTGGGACACCACCTGATTATTCCACGTGGCCACCCAATTTTGAACTTTGGCTTGGCAAAACGCATCGCTCTGGCTTGACCGTACAGTGGGCCAAATAGCTGTGCAAGTGGAGTAAAATAATTATTAAAAACTCGAGTAAATGAAAAGATATTTTCATGAAAATTTAAACTTAAGGTTTTCAACGCATTCATCAATCAGTCTCTAAATTTCAAACCTCAACTTTTTTTGAAAGCACCCATAGAAAAAAACAAGTAAAAAAGCTAAAGTCGGGTGTCCCGACTTTGAAATACTCTCTACATATGTTTACAATAATTATAGAAAATAAAAAAAATTAAGAAAATAAAAAAAAAATTTGATCGATTTTACCTCTCTCGGTATTCGAACTCACGTAAAGGGTGTATAATTGCACATTTACATAGCAATTGCGTCTGTGTGAGTGTATGTATGCCTATGCGCATCAATTCGTGTCTGTGTAAGCATTTTCGCAGTCAACCAAACAGCAACATCAACAACAGCCGCGGGCAGCGCTTGAGCAGCGCTGCAGCAGCGCTGCGGCAGCGCTGCATCAGCAAATATATTTATGGCTATAACTTCTTGTTAAATCGGTCTATCATAATGAAATTTGGCATACGGACATATAATAACTAACTGGGGGTATTTCCAAAATTTTAGTTCGAAATTCCAAGAATTACGGGAGTTACGATTTGCGGGGTAGAGGGGGGAGGGAGGGGAATTCCAAAATATACATTTTCTGCGTATTCACATAAGGCATCTGGGACTGGTGTTCCTAGGTCTTATAGTCTCCGAGATATAGGCGATTATACGAATGGAAAATCGGGAAAACCCCCATAGGGGGGAAGTGGGGGGGAAAATCAAAAAAATAAAACAAACTCGTATAGAATACACACATAACGCATCTTCGTGCAAAATTTGGTGTCTCTATCTCTTATAGTCTCTGAGATCCAGGTGTTCATACGGACGGACAGACGGACAGACGGACAGACAGACAGACAGGGCTACATCGACTCGTCTCGTCATGCTGATCAAGAATATATATACTTTGTGGGGTCTGCCACGCCTCCTTCTGCCTGTTACATTTTTCAGCTCCCGCAAACCTAATATACTCTTGTACATTTCATGTACAGAGTATAAAAATTACATATGGTTTTAACTAACTATTTAATCAGAATCCGATGATTCTGAATCATTTAAAGTATTTTATTAACGAGCAACCCAGAAACTACTTTACCTAACCTAACATATATTTTGGACATTTTTGATGTTTTTGATGAATATGTTATAAGCGGATCTTATGCTACAAGTAAACGGTATTACATCTACTGTCCTTACGGGAATGGTTTCAAGGACTTCTTTGGACATCACGCCAATAAGAAAAATTCTATACTAATGGCATACTTTCCATTTCTCTGTTAACCTGCTTACGAAATTAGTCAATTTTTGATTTACAAGTATTTCGGTTAATTTCGGTCAGATACGTTTTGGTTCTCAAAAGAACTTTTGTTGCGATGACATTTTCGCTAAGCTACATTGAATAAAGAAAGCTTAGGGACTGACATTTCACCCAAAAAGGGCAACAGACTTAAGAGTTGGACGTAGTTGGTTATCATTTTGGCTATTTTAACACCACAAGGACTCACACTTTACATGAATGCTAAAACTAGCGTGAATAATATTAAATAACATTAGTTATACATAGTCTGAAGAAGCCAGTAATACGCTTAAAAACATATTTGCTAAAGCAACTTACTTCTACCGCATATTTTTCGTTAGACGTGAAAAGACAACACATCTATATAATTTTTAAATAGTACATACCTTATGAATAGGCCCAGCAAGTTTTAATTTTTTTGTTCTTTGACCCAATCTAAGAAATTCATATAATGACACGAACTCGTTCACTTTGGCAGCTCGCAATTGATCAGGAATGCATTTAAATTCTCAGAAAGAAGCTTTTCTAAATTTTGAGAAATGTCAATTATAAGAAAAGAAAACAAGTCGGGTGGCCCAACTTTGAAATACTCTGTACATATGTTTACAATAATTATAGAAAATTTAAAAAATCGGATCGATTTTACCTCTCTCGGTATTCGAACTGACGTAAAGGGTGTATAATTGCACAAATACAACGCAATTGCGTCTATGTGACTGTATGTACATGTATATGCTCGTATATTCGTGTCTGTGTAAGCATGTTCGCAGTCAACCAAAGTACGAACATCAACAACAGCTGCGGGCAGAGCTTAGGCAGCAAATATATTTATGGCCATAACTTCTTGTTAAATCGGTCTATCATGATAAAACTTGGCATACGGATACATAATTACAAACTGGGGGTATTTTCAATTTGAGTTCGAAATTCCAAGAAGTACGGGAGTTAGAGAAAATCGCGATTTGCAATGGAGAGGGGGGAGGGAGGGAAATTCACGAATACACGATTATACGAATGGGAAATCGGGAAAACCCCCATAGGGGTAAGTGGGGGGGAAATTCCAAAAAATAAAACAAACTCGTATAGCGTACACACAAAATTTGTTCTCTCTAGCTCTTATAGTCTCTGAGATCCAGGTGTTCATACGGACGGACAGACAGACAGGCAGGGCACTGTCACGCTGATCAAGAATATATATACTTTGTGGAGTCTGCCATGCCTCCTTGTGCCTATTACATTTTCCAGCTCCCGCAAACCTAATATTCTCCTGTACATTTTATGTACAAAGTTTAAAAATTCGGAATTTCAAAAATTTAAACGACCTAAATCCCGCTAGATAGGTCATTTGGGCCACTGTGGACCGCTCGAATCAATAGGTGTTCCAAGTCCGCTCATGTAAATTACATTAAATTGGCTGTTGGGACAACCCCCAATAAATGAGTATAAAGAATCGGGGTTTGGAAAAAATGTTTTGTTCCTGAAAAAAATGTGATTCAAATGAAGTATTCAGAATTTCAATGTCATAGCGTTATTTACTCTCGTCTGCCAATAAAACATTTGAGTATGGCAGCGCAGATATTGTCTTTGCGTAGGTTGGCATGTAAATTGCTTAGGAAAACAAATCACGTAAAAAACTCACACCGCGTCGTTTGCAGTCGAGCAGATTGGCGCTCAAAGGAAACAGACTAAGTGCCATCAACATCCAAAAGAAATGGCAGGTTGCTTAAGTGCTTGGAAGCTTGGATAAATTGGCTTACACAGTGTTAGGAATTATGCGCTGCTTTGAATTGGCAAATAGCATGGAAATGTGCGTTAAAACTGGGCCCAAAACTTGACGCGAAATCAATTAAAAGACTTGACAACGCAATGAAGCAACAAATTAAAACGCATGCAAGTAGCTAATGAAAATCCAAGGCTAGCAAAATAAAAATCTAAATCCAAGTTCAAGATACACTCATATGTACAAGCACACAGCACATACTTGTACAGAAACACCCGAGTTTTTCATCAATTGATTTTCATCGTGGGATGAAAGCCCGGAAGCACAACAACTGACAAAGAGTGTACAGAAAGGCGTTGAGTTTGGAGACAGGCAGAGGATAATATATATGTTAAGACCAACCATGTCAGATCACCATGTTGTAGAGCTGTCATATGAAGCAATCGGCTTCGGCTGCAGTTGATTTTTAAATATAGAAAAAAGTCCGTCGGCTTTCCAGAACTTCGGCAAGTTCTTTTACTAAATACACAGTTTATTGGTACTTATTTGAAACAAGAATAGCGTCGAATATATATTTTATTTTTAACTTTCGTTGGAGTCACAAAATAAGACTTAACTCAATTAACTCAAATTAACTTAATTAAGTTATATCCCAAAATTTTGTCTCTGCCGATGCTCTGCCCGCAACTGTTGTTGTTGTTGCTGCTTTGACATAATTATGTACTGCATACATACACGCATACAAGTATAAACACGCATAGACACGATGATGTAAATGTATGCTGTTGAAACTGTACATGTCTCCGCTTTTTCATGTATGTATTAAATAAATTTTATTTAATTTAATAATTAATTAATTTTTTTTAAAGTAATTAAATTTTTTTAATTTTCCTTTTTTGTGGAGAGTACAGACTATTTTACTGTCGGGCTTGCTCTGTACCGTTCTCCCTTGTTTTCTACTGGGCCTAGGGCGCATCTCTATAGATCGGTTGTTTTGAATGAAATGTGTGAATGCTATTGTTTTAACTACAGATTTAGTAATTTGCTTATTTAATAATATTAACATAGGATATGCAAAATATGTTTGGTTTAGATTGTTCAGAAAGACTATAAGGTTTATATTCCAATGATTATTTGAATGTTTAAAAATGTCTTTATTAGTGTTTTTAATCAAATCTTCAGGCAAAACATACGAAACTTCCCAAAATAAATTTCTGTGGCACCGAGAATTGGTTTTGAAGCAAAACTTGGGCTGAAGAGATTTCGGTGGCACCCCTGAATATGATTTAGAAATAGTTATTCCATCCTTCCAATCCTTTTGTTTAATGAGAATGTATTGGGTATATCATTGCAATTGTATAATAATACTTGTGGGCCAAGAAGGGTAACACAAATAAATCAAAATAAAAATAAAAAATTCAGTTCATTTTGTAGAAACTTTAAACGGTTTTTATTAATGGCTATCAGTCATTGAGCTAACACAGTAAGACCCTTTCGTCTGCAGTGTTACCACAAGGCGGGAGCGGCAGCATAGCCCAATGGAGCAGCAGGGTAGGCCAAGGGAGCGGGCGCAACGGCTAATCGCGGTGTCAATGGAGACAGGTATTTGGCAATCAGTGGGGATGCGTATGGGGCTGCCAGGGGAGCGGCCAGAGGACCTGCAATTGGTGCCGCAGCTTTAATGATGGGTGAAGCGAGAGGCGCAGCAAGTGGTGTGGCCCAAGGAGCTGCAATCGGACCAGCCAGTGGGGCAGCCAGTGGGGCAGCCAATGGAGCAGCGAAGCGGTGTGCAATTGGCGCCACAGCACGCACAACTGGCGCTGCTACGGGCACCTGTGCCACTATGGGCGCCGCAGCAATGCCATTGAACGTCCTAGCCACAACTTGGCTGCTGGCAGCTGTCACAACGGGTGCTGGTATGGCCAATGGTGCCGCCAGGGGTGCTGCCAATGGTGCATGCAGCAGACTCGGCTTGGCTGCGACGCAGGCAATCAAAGCGCAGGTTAGAACGACCTGAAAAATCGAATACGTTTGGTCAGCAGACATCAACAAATTAATTACTTCTGTACTAACGAATTTGAACATGTTGGTAGGTGAATTGGTTGCTGGTTGCTAGTTGCTGGTTGGAATGATAGCCAAACGTTAACTGATGACAACTGCTGGCCACGGTGTGCATATTTATACCAACGACGCAGCAAATGACCAACGACAACTACTTAAAATGCGTTCAGCGTTGGCGCCTATTATAAGCTGGCATAATACCTTATTGTAATTGGCAATTGATTACTTGGGCACTCTTTGTCTTTGTCCGGCAAGTCTTTGAGGGACAGGCGCAAAACCCGAAGGGCATCCAGCACCGCTCTACGACTGTAATTGTATACGAAGCAAACGGCGAATTATGGAGTTTTAACAATTGACACTTTGAAGTAGACCTGTTGGAGTACTTACTACATCGGGAGCACTTGCTTCTCTCCATATCAGTTTCTTCTTGACCGCCTCTGAATAGGTGCAACAAAAATATTAAAAGCAATATATCAACAAAATGCCACATACTCGTATGTGTGTACTACAAGCACACCTGTTTCCAGCACCCTAACCAACACCCAATCCACACTTAGCAGATAGTTGGCCAATTAAACATTTTGGACACGTACGCCCAGCCCGGGTCGCAGGCCGACAACAATTGGTCTGCAAACATACCACCAGCACATGACCAATTTTGGGACGTGGACGAATTGGCTCGTAGCTGTCATGAAAGCTATTTGCTTTTGTATTTGTGATTTTGGGTCAAGGTTGTGCATTAGTTTGTTTGGGTTTAGTGACCTTTGGCCATATTGAGAATGGGTGATGTTGTTGTTTTTTAACTTCACAAATTTAAATGCATGAATTAATAAATTGCTGCGCATTATTTTATGTTCCCTAGCGTTACAAAAATTTAATACAATTATAAGTATGTGGCTTTAAGGAGGAAAGCTTGAAAAACAATTCAATTCGAACATAACTTTTAAAAACGCTCCAGAATTGATGTGTTGCTTAGCTGTTTATTGTGGCAGCCCTAAAACCTACACTGATAAAAAAGTTGCATAGTACGGATGAATATTTTTATACCCTGTACCCGTAGGGTAAAAAGGGTATATTAGGTTTGTGCAAAGTATGTAACATGCAGAAGGAAGCATCTCCGACCCCATAAAGTATATATATTCTGAATCAGCATGACGAGAGAAATCGATCTAGACATGTCCGTCCGTCCGTCCGTCTGTTCGTCTGTCCGTCCGTCTGGATGAACGCGAGGATCTCAGAAACTATAAAAGCTAGAATAACCAAAGTTGGCATCCAGATTCTCCTAGGTCCGAGAAAGGACGAGTTTATTTTATTTTTTGGAATTTTCCCCCCCCTTCCGCCGCTACAGAATTTCGTCAATAGCGTCCACATTTCAAATGCTAACTAAACCAAACTTTGCACACATAATTTATAAATAATTATCTACTGTTGTTTAAAATGTTATTCAATTCTGTCAATTCTAAGAAAAGGTATTAGCGAAACAAATTCTCGCCAGTACAACCTCCCCAAACTGCAGCAACAAGTTCGCTCTTCTTCTTCCTCTTTTTGCTGCTGCTATGGGCGCATATAACTCAGTGACGGAAGTTTACCTGGGTACAGGGTATTACACTGTCGGGCTTGCTCGACTGTAGCGTTCTCTCTTGTTTATATTAAATTTAATGTTCACCTATTTCATATTCAAATCAAATATAAACATCGTAAATTTTACTAAAAACATATTCAATTAGTGAATTTATTATGAATAATATTCAAAACAAACTGTAAAACTTCGTTATTAAAGTCTGTCATATTCAATTTAATGTTGAACCATATTAAATATTAATATGCACACACTTCAAAAAACAAATAGTTCAATTTACTATATTCCATAGCAAGGGCGTAGCCCTTGTTCCATAGTAAATAATAATATTTTTCTAAACTTTAATTTGAAGTTTTTTGTAGTCGATTTAAATATACTAGAAATATATTAAATTTCAATTGACTAGAATTCTCAAGTCGGTTTTCAGCGGTTGTGTGGTATAAATACAAAGGGTGTCAAGTAAGTGTTATCCAATCAGCTGTTTCTCACTTATAATATTAATATTGATCCAAACTATATCCGTACTAAGAGGCATAAAAAAACATCAAAAAAATTAATTCATGGATAACAAACAAACTTTAAAATTACTTTCTGCTAAAAATGGTGGTTCTATAGAAAAAAAAAGATGTATATAGCAATAAAATATGCATCATGGAAATGTCAATATTGAAAAGAGTTAAGAAATACCAGTAGCGTAGATCAAAAAGTGGAAAAAATATTTTGTAATTATAAAAAATAAACCTTTGGCGTGAATCAAACCCACGTCTCCACGTCATCACTTGTGATTTAATATTGTCACACTTTAAATTTAATATTTAAATATTAAATTTTTAAATTTAAGTGTGCACACTTCATTTTTACTAAAACCCACGATGGTGCAAAATCGATGGCAAAAATATTTAAATCTACGTGTAAATATTAAAATTTCCGTGCTTTGTTTTTAACAGTGTAAGCATTTCTGAATTTAAAATGTGGAAATGATTTGGCATCGTTATGGGATAAATTATTATTTATTATTATTATTTGGAAGACCTCACTCCAACCATTATTTTATCCCCTGTGTCCAAATGTTAAAATGGTTTGTACAACAAAAGGAGGCGAGACAGCCCCCACAAAGTATTTATATTCTAGATCAGGATGACAAGACGAGTCGATATTGCCATGTCCTTATGTGTGAAATCAATGATCTTTAGAAGTAGAAGAGCTAGAATAACCAAACTTGATATGCAAGGCCCCATTAGAAATTTTGTTTTGTTTTCTGATGCATTCACCCACTCCCCCGCTATTAGTGATATAATAACTCCAGTATTTCTTGGAATTTTTTAATCAAATTTGACATTTACATCCAGTTAGTGCTTATCTGCCAATATGTGCAGTTTCATCATGATTTTCAATTGTTAAGAAAGTTAACCATGCTCTGCCTCAGAATGCTATTAAAACTACTAAATATACATACATACATATGTATTAAATATTTATACACTACATAAAATGTACAAGAGTATATTAGGTTTGCAGGAGCTGAAAAATGTAACAGGCATAAGGAGGCGTGGTAGACCAAAGACAAAGTATATATATTCTTGATCAGCATGACGAGACGAGCCGATCTAGCCCTGTCTGTCCGTCTGTCACACCTGGATCTCAGAGACTATAAGAGATAGAGACACCAAACTTTGCAGAAATATGCCTTATGTGTGCAAGTTTGTGTACCCCCCCCCTCCCCACTTCCCCCTATAGGGGTTTTCCCGATTTTCCATTCGTATAATCGCCTATATGTCGGAGACTATAAGACCTACGGACACCAAATTTTAGTCCAAGATGGCTTATGTGAATTCGCAGAAAATGTGTATTATGGAATTTCCCTCCCACCCCCCTCTCCCATGCAAATCGCGATTTTCTCTTACTTTTTTTTAATTTCTATAATTATTCTAAACATATGTACAGAGTATTTCAAAGTTGGGACACTCGACTTTAGCTTTTTTACTTGTTTTATTTTATTTAAATAAATAAATTTGTTTTCTTAAATTAAAAAATTAAAAAAAAATTGTTGTTTGTATATTTCTCCCTATTTTAAAGCATAGCCCAACGGATTTAGCTTAGCCCGCACAATTTTAAACCCGTTTTTCACCCTTCAATAAATTAAACTTTTATTAAATTTGAAATTTTACAGGCTCTTTTTCGCATCAAGTACTCTAATTAGCTATTTATTAGAGTTCAGTTTTCACTTTCTAATCGGTGCAAAGCATGCTGGATGACAAATAAAATTCCCCCAACAAGTCGGAGGCATTAATAGATACTATTACAGTTTTTACGCATTCTTATCTTCAAATTTCAAATAAGAATATATTGTAAATACTCGTATTAATATACTACACTACTATATGCCGACAGCCCATACTTTGATGGCGAAATAGTAATAAATAAATAGCAACGACACAACGTATTGATTACCGCAGAATTGCTATTGCCATATGTTGCTGAAAACAAACGATCGCAAACTCCTTCTAGGATATTCTTGGCAGACAAAAACTACAATCGGTCCTAGAAGATCGTTGGCTAGAACTACGCGATCTAGCCCAAAAATGAGCTGAATCTCAATTAAATTATCGTAAGGCAAAAAAACAGCAATAACTAAATTAGTTCTTGCCATGCTCTGCTCAAAGGTTTGTTCATTATTTGTATTTATTTAATTTTAATTAAACAATTTTCATAGGAATAAGAAATTTGTAAAATTGTTATCTTTATTAAAAACATATTAAATTTTTAGGCTTGTACACGGGTTTTAAGAGTACCGCACTACTATAACATGCTATTGTTGTTTTTCATGTACAATATACTGTATTGATCTTTGAATAGTATGCATCCGCAGAGGCATATTTAACACCATTGTTGTGTTAATAAACCCACTTATTACAGTTAGGCCAACGGTTAGTTGGTTGGCTTCTGTGCATAATAATTTTTTTCGCACTTATTGTTCCATTGTCGTCATTGGCGCAGTACTTCAGTCACGTCCGTCAAGGTAACTGGCTAGCTATAAAAATAAATCGATTTCGACGAAATAGCATCAAACCCAGTTTCGCTTTTCATAAGCCAACTCGTCCAATCCTCCAGCAACATGTTCAAATTCGTAAGTGGCATATCTGGCTAGAGTGGTAAAAGGAGTTAATCATTTAAATGTATCCGTTTAGGCCGCTGTCATCTTCACCATCGTTGCCTGTGTGGCAGCCAAGCCGGGTCTTCTGCATGCGCCACTCGCTGCACCACTTGCTGCGCCACTTGTGGCGGCTGCTGTTCCTGTGCCCGCACCTGTAGTGACTGCCACCAGCAGCCAAGTGGTGGCTAGGAACTTCAATGGAATTGCCGCAGCACCTGTGATTGCCCCTGTGGCGCCCGTTGTAAGGACTGTGGCGCCACTTGCAGCTGCTCCCATCATTTCAGCTCGTCCGTTCGCAAGTCCTTTGGCTTACCGTGCATATGCTGCACCATTGAACTATGCGGCGGCGCCTGCTCCTCTTCTTTTTTAAAGTAACTGTGATAAATTTTTGCTTAAAAATACTCTATAAATAAAAGCATAAGTACATATTAGCGAGTTCAATATCAGTTGTTATACCCTGTACCCAAAAGTTAAAAGCCTATAATTGTTCAATGCTAATGTCACACACAGTAGGAGGTGTGGCAGGCTCTTCAAATTATTTATATTCTCGCTCAGTATTACAGTATTGGCCGTTCGTCTGTCTGCCTCCATGCACCCATGGTTCTCAGAAAGTATAATAGCTAGGATAACCAAACTGGGTATCCAGGTTACCCTAAGCCATAGGCAGACCAAGTTTGTGTTTTCTTGATGCACCCATAATGCTCTGCCAGCGCAGTTTTTGTTCTTGCTGCTGCTTTGACTCAACTCTGCATTGTACACTCAAATTTTACATACTTGTACATTCACATTGTGCACTCATTCTAAAGATTCATAAAATGTCATTATTTTTGACAGGCAAAACAATTAGCTACTTGTATATGCATGCTCGATTTGTCGAGAACAACAAGTGTATAAAATAATCTAAATATCACTTTAAGATACAAAATATTGCATTTTAAGCAACAAGTATTTCGATTGTTTTTCTAGAAAACATTTAAATCTTCAACTGCAATCTTAACTATATATTCGGCGTCTCCGCTGGCCACAGCAATACATAAGTTATTCAAAGGAAGCCGAATACAACGAACACACAAACTTTTGTTGATTACGTATTTTCAAAGGCATTTGTATTAGAGATATAGCTAGGAATATATATACAATATGTTTAACATCTGCTAAGATCAAATAGGAAATCTTTATGGAGATATATCAAGATTTTTAGCATTACACGTAGAGGGATTATCAATATCTTTCCAAGCATATTTCCATTACGAACTGAGGCTTAAGTTGCCATACATTCTTTCTTATGCTTTAATAGTTGAAATTCCCTTTTCCCCTTGCATATTCCCGTTTTAAACTTGCTATACTTTCTTCCATAAGCATAAGCTTTAATAGTTGGATGAAGATTATCAGGGACGGACAAAATGAAAATAATAATACCTAGGCTCCTTCTTACTGTTATATATAATTTTAATGGACTCGACTTGCCACGTTGATCATACTTATATAGTTACACTTTGGGGGGTCTACCAAGCCACTTTCTGACTATTATAAATATAACTGACTATGAAATTCCCTTTACCCTTTGGATATAAAGTATAAATGTGGCATTTGTTTTCGAATCAAAAAAGTTTAAAGGTCACTAACAATTTTAGCTCACATGCATATCTTGCCTGTGGCCTTGACACAATTGCGAGCTTTGACCATAAATAACTTTAAAACAAACCTTCTGCCCACTTTCATGTCTCTCGTTATTCTGTGGCTTTATTACTTCGGTGTGAATAATGGTCGACGGCCGATGCCGGTGTTCACAATCATTTTCAAGCTGTCGACGTGACGCGCATCTGAATAAGCATTCGATATTGCTGTAGTTGTTGTTGGCTAAATTTAAATATATATATGCATACACACATCTACATATATGCATGTATATGTATATGTGACAACAGAACTTATAAATAAATGTAAATGGAAAGCAGTTATGTAAAAGGAAAAGCAGTCGTTTTTATTTTCAGTCATACGAGAGGTGCTTAGATCAGAAAGGAAGGCGCAGCATTGTACACCAAGGGACCAGCGCTGTAGGCTAGAGGAGTCGCCACATGCGCCGCCAAAGGAGCAGCTAGTGTCTTCACAACAGGAGCGACAGGCGCGGCAGCAATCACTGGAGCAGCAGCAATGCCATTGTAGTTCCGAGCAATCACCTGGCTGCTGGTTGCGGTCACTACTGGAGCGGGGGCAGCAACAACTGCAGCAACAGGAGCGGTGTAAGCCAGAGGCGAAGCCAGAAATCCGGGCTTGGCAGCGACGCAACCAATGACGACGAGGATGACAGCGGCCTATGAACGAGTATAAAAAAAAGTTGATTATGAACCTCACTCCTGGCAATCATTCCAAAACTTACGTATTTGAACATGATGCTAGAAATTGATTGTTGACTGTTTTGCTTGTGTGAAGAGCTGGGAAATGTTTGATACTGATTCGACGGAATTGTCTTGTATTTATATCCAAAAATGTCGTGCCTCTAGAGTGACTCATGTTGAGCATATGTGTACATATGTATGTACATACAAGTATATAGTAAGTGCGAGCAATTCATTGAAATGCGACGCTCGCGTTAAACGAACAGTTTGAATTTTGATTCCGTTATAATTTAAAAGTTCCCCCGTTTACATTTACATATGTATGTACATACGAGCACTCGTACATGTACGGTTCGTTGTGCCCAGATACATACATACATACATACATACATACATACATACATACATACATACATACGAGTATGTGTGTGTACTTGCTTAAGGTCATAGGCTGTCAGCGTTTAACTTCATGTATAAATAGCTCAGGCCATAGTGTTTAACGGCATCAAATAAGTTCAAGTTTTCGGGCTGCGAGCACCAAAAGCAAACAAAAATCATTATCAAAATGTTGAAATTCGTAAGTTTGTCGCTTGTAAAGCAACGCCCTTATCTAAATGTATTCTCACCCCCAGGCTGCTGTTATCCTCGCCATTGTTGCCTGCGCCCAAGCCAAGCCCGGTCTTCTGGCTGCACCCTTAGCCTACACCGCTCCCGCGGCAGCCGTCCTTGCTGCCCCTGCTCCTGTGGTGACCGCAACCAGCAGCCAGGTGTTTGCTCGGAACTACAATGGGATCGCTGCTGCTCCAGTGATTGCTGCCGCGCCTGTCGCTCCAATTATAAAGACACTTGGTACACCTCTGGCTGCGCCTCTTGCTGCCCCTCTTGCTGCGCCTCTTGCTGCGCCTCTTGCTGCGCCTCTTGCTGCCTCGCTACCTTACAGAGTCAGCCCCTTCACTGCTCCTCTGGGCTCTGCGCTACCATTGGCCTACTCCGCACCGCTCCTGGTCTAAGAATAAACCAGCCCGTCTCCAGACCTTTTGAATAAAACTTTCGACTGATTATTCACTAAACTGGAGCTGCATTTGTTTGTTCAAACGGTTCCACTCAAGTACAGACCCACATTCACATACAAACCCATGGACATACATATGTACATACATACTTATATACACATAGCCACATTAGACAGCACTGCCTTCCCCCTGGCGTTTGTTAGTTCTGTCCTGATGCGCGTATTTATCTAAAATGCTTTTATGGCGCATTTCATGCATTGATGCACAATTTAAATAACCATTTGCTTTCGCGCGCAGATAAGATGGCACAGCTGGAGAACGGCATGGAAAAGCCAAAAATCCTAGGCGTATGTTATCGCTAACGTCGTCGCCATCGTCGCCTGAAAAGCGCTAAAAAGTTGAGCGCGTGATTGCTCCCTAGCAGGATTTAGCCTCACATGTGAGTCTGGCAGCGACGCATCGTCTTGCCTAGGCTGGCTGTTCTATAGATTTGTCGGAAACGAGTATTTAATTTGATTAGTTACGCTTATACGGCCCTAGTTGTGCAACTTTCTGGGCGTTTGTAATTACAAAAACCAACAACACGTAATGAAATTTACCTACCACGCCCACAGCCGCCAAATTTTCACCAAAAACTCCTGGCGAACGAATAAAAAGTCAGCGCCATTCTATATAATTAAAAGTTTGCCCTTACTTGACGCTTTCGGCGCTGCCCGTTAGCCGTTGTTTGTTTTTTCGTTTGTAATTCCAGTAACGGCAGCGGTAACGGTAATGGCAATGGAAACAACAAGCTGCGCTACACGACAAAGCCGAGCACATGGAACACGGTTTTTGCATTAAAAAATCTACTGAGAGGCAGAAAAAGAAACAAACAGAGAGTCAGTCGCCTGCTGCTGATGCCCCTTTCCCGGAGTTCTTGCACACTCGTACATGTTATGACTTGTTTATGCTCGACTGCTAATTTTTCTTGTAGACTGCTAGGTTATGTTTGCAAATTGTTAAGTAATGGACACAGCACTTGCTGGTTCTGCGCAGGTTAAGGCTGTCGAACGATGGGTGTCAAACGAGCAGTCAACAAGCGTTCAGACACAGTCTGTCAAAGGGCCGTCATTTTCAAATTTCAAAATTAAGGAATTATCTATTCCTGTACGAAATTATGCATTATTAAAATTTTGTAATTTTTCTTTTTTAAAGATCTGTCCTGAAAGGACAGTTATTAAATAAGCTTATGTGCCTTGAGTATCTTGGCATCTGGCAAAATAAGAGATTAAATGGGGCTGCGAAGATTCAAATTAAAAGTTATTTGGAAGGCTCTGTAGTTGACCTGGAATGGAAGGTCAATCGGGTGAAACTTTTGCGACGTCTTCGATGCTTGCTGATATCGAGGAGATTTATAGCAAGAACGATTACGTCAGTGTTAAGCAAGTAGCATGGTCCTCCGGATATTGTGCGTAGAACTTTATTTCGAACCCCGCAGTTGAGTCCCGTAAATTCAAATGGGTTTTATCATCGCTTTGTAGAATAGGAGCTTATGGTTCAAACTCAGCTTTGAGCGTAGGCCCAGTAACCAGTAGAGTTTGCCAAACTTTTTGTTAAAGTGCTGTCATTAAGCCTTAAGATGCTGGCACCAGGTAAGACCCCTATTAAAAGTTAGGCTTAGGTACCTAATAGACGTTTCAGATGGTATAGCATTGCCGAAGAGTGTGATGTGGACAGTCCTCTCTGGGCAAGGTGAACATCACTTGGACAGACTTCTCGCTGTTCACCACTATGTTCCAGCGCCGCAGCCATGGCTCTATTGCATCTATTTGCCTCTGGATCAATGCCGATGCTTCGCATGATGAAGCGGACGGTACCAGGAAAGCTCTGTCATCGGCGAGGGTTACGGCCTTGTTGGACTCCAGTTCCTACTGACCGGATGGTCGATTCATCTTCACCTTCTCTAGGTAGCATCTACTTTAATTTGAAGAGGAGCTCTTTATGCCAAACACGGTGGTTTCATCATGATAGGCCGAATTCAAGGAAGTTATAGCTACTTGTATAAATTTAATCTTCCCATGCTCTGTAACTCTGCTCGCAGCGCTGCCCGCAGCTGTTGTTGTTGTTGCTGCTTTGGTTCACCTTTGTGCTGCATACACACAAGCATATAAACACGCATAGACACGATGGTGTAAATGTATGCTGTTAAAACTGTACATAAACAAGTCTTCTGTGTATGTATTAAATAAATTTTCTTTATTAATTAAATTAATTTTTTAAATAATTTAATTTTGTTTTAATATTTTTTTAATTTTACTTTTTTGTGGAGAGTACAGGCTATTTTTCTGTCGGACTTGCTCGACTTTAGCATTCCGTTCTTGTTTTAAATTGTTTTATTTTTTGTAGGAGTGAGTACAGGGTATTTAAGAGTTGAGCTCGTTCGGCTCTAGCATTGCTTTCTTGTTATACCAGTAAGGTAAAAGGATATATTAGGCTTGTGCAACATAAAGTATGCATACATACATACAAGTATATATTCTGCATCAGTATGACGAGAGAAATCAATCTAGACATGTCAGTCTGTCTGTCCGTCTGGATGAACGCAAGGATCTCTAAAACTATAAAAGCTGGAACAACCAAAATTGGAACCCAGATCCTCCTAAGTCCACGAAGGGACAAGTTTATTTTATTATTTTTTTTATTATACATTTCCCCCTCCCCCGCTACAGAATTTCGTCAATACTGTCCACACATCAAGAGCTATATATATAAACCAAACTGCATACGTAATTTGTACACAATTATCTACTTTTACTTTAAATTTCATCCAAATCGGTCTGTTCTAAGAAAAGTTATTAGCGAAAGAATCTTACTTCTGTACTACGCCCACAAGCTGGAGCATAAAGTTCGCTCTTCTTCTTCTTTTTGCTTCTAGCGAATATAACTTAGTGCCGGAAGGTGTTTTAATGGAAAATTGATATCTTAGATACTAGTTTGATAACACTTTTGTTACTGTTGTCGGGTGTCCCGACTTTCAAATACTCTGTATATATGTGTAGATTAATTATATAAATTAAAACAAGAGACAACGATAGAGTCGAGCAAGTCCGACAGTGAAATATCCTGTACTCTCCACAAAAAGGAAAAATTAAAAAAAAAAATATAAAAAAAAAAATTAAATTATTAAAAAAATGAATGAATTAATTAATTAAAATAATTAATTAAATTAAATTAGAATACATGTTTATGTTCAGTTTAAACAGCATACATTTACATCACGTACCTATGCATGTTTATATGCGTGTATGTATGCAGCACAAAGTTGAACAAAAGCAGCAACAACAACAACAGCTGCGGGCAGCGCTGCCGACAGAGCAGCAGGCAGCGCATGAGCAGCGATTTTACTTATGGCTATAACTTTCTTCAGAATTGACCTATCATGATGAAATTTGGCACACGGACACATTAGTACTAACTGGATGGACCTACCAAAATTGATTTTAAAATTCCGGAATTACGGAAGTTATAAGAAAAAATACGATTTGCGGGGGAGTGGGGGGGTGTATCAGAAAAAATAAACAAACTCGTTCTGCCTAGGGCTTATAGGAACCTTGATACCAATTTTGGTTATCCTAGCTCTTGTACTTACTGAGATCCTTGCGCTCATACAGACAGACGGACAGACGGACATGGCTATATCGACTCGTCTTCTCATCCTGATCAAGAATATATATACTTTGTGGGGTCTGCCACGCCTCCTTCTGTGTGTTACATACATGCGCACAAAACTAGTATAGCCTTTCACCCTTTGGGTACAGGCTATAAAAACTTGGAACTTAGACTTTTGCATTGCATTACTTATATCAGAGAATTTTTACCCTATGATGGTGGTGATGCCTGATTTCAATGTGTCACACATTCCGTGACCATTTGTAATGGATTTGGATAGAATCATCTTCCTCTTTGTAGCATGCCTTGTGAGTTGTGGTTTTGTTTTCCCAACCTTAATGGTTTATCAGCCTAAAGTTAACTGAAACTCTAATTACACTAGCAAATTATAAATCATGATTTATGGCGCACACCGTCATTAAGTTTTCGCGATAAACAGCTGGAAAAATTAATGCCATTTTGATTAACCCATCTAATTTATTGGCAGCTCATGGCCTTGGCTTAATTGTGGCCAACGGGGCTAACAAGACAGGCATCTGCAATGCCAGGTATTCACGTACTGGCATTTGCATTTTTGATTGCTTCGATATTTTGTTCATTGCTTTACGTTGTGTTGTTTTGTTTATTGGGATGTTTTGAATTGAATTTTTTTCGGGTTTTTCTCTATGAAACGTGGCGCGCACACAAAAAAGAACGAGCGCTTTTAAATTTCCACACAAAAGGTCAGTTTGTCTTTGGAGTTTTGCTCACTGGCTGCCGAATGAAAAAGAGTGGCTCTCGGCGAAAATATGCAAATCATTGGGGGGCTTATCCCATTGGCAATTCCATTTATTTAGGCGTCACACTGCCCGAGACCTACATACATACATAATTATGTTTTGTGGGCCTGACTGGAGCAATTTTCTTTTACTGTTACTTCCTAGCACTTTTTTAAAGTCATTTTTCAGGCGTATCGCTTTATTAATTTGTTTGCTTAGGTAATTGAGGTCGGCTGACAAAACAGGCCCATACATACATACATACATACATACATACTCGTATAGTACACACAATAAGACAATCAAACACGTTTTTAAATACGACTACCCCAACAATAATAGCACAACGCAGAGTTCAAGAGTCTCGAATTACTTACAAACTGCGCCATCAACACAATAGCTATATTATGTTTCCAAGCAATTGTTTATTGTTCCAAATCGCACGAAATCAAATTGATGCCACTGCGCCACAAAATCGTAGCCATTTATTATATGTATGGAACAAAATATAATGGGTGGGTCGGGGTATATCGCCCAATTCGTGCTCAAGCAGCCAACCTGGGATAAAAATGTACCGAGACAATTCGCCTCCAACCCCCATACCTTTGCTTCTTTACTGCCGCTTCACCAGCAGTGTTGCGAACGAGTTAAAGGGACGGGCGCAGGACTGACGTGTTTCTACAGCAAGAAATGGCAACACTTAACCTTGGCTGTATACGGCCGAGGACACGCTACTTAAGTTATGAATTAAATTCCTCAGCTAGGCTTTTGGAGTAGGCAGGAATAGCAGACTGCGCTGTACACGATATTTCTGCAACCTTACAACTTGAACAGAAAAGCACTGGGGCTGCAGTAAAGCGGGAGAGCAGCAGAGCGGGAGCATTTACTTCGCTCTCTGCAAAGCCGTGCAAAAGCTCGCGCCTTCCATTCAGCGACTCTGAATTTGAAAGCTTTTGCGTGCGTGACTGTGACCTCTACACAAAGAAGAGCATATTTGTTTTATAAGCATCGTTTCAAAACTTGTAATAATAAGAACCAACCAAGTGCCTTAGCTAACGCGACACAATGTATGTATGCATGTATATACGTATGTATGCATACTTTCAATCACGTTGGGCCGATTGTTTCTAACCTATCGATTTATTATAGAATGCAGATGTGTTGTACCGGTTCATCACTAGCATTGTTGCACCACTAACCATGACTTGTCACACGCAACAGTTGTTGTTGTAACTGAGTGTAATTTTAAATGAATGAGATCAAAAATTTAACGCTGTTAGACAGTGCACTGCTCGAGTGCGTCATCTTCTTGGATTTCATCAGGACCAGGCTGATTTGGCTTCTTTTTCTTGTCAGGCGCGCGAAAATTGGCCGTAATCAAATAGAGCTTGGCCAACATCTCATCCGCGAGGACTATGGTCATAGCAAATACATGCACCATGCCCGTCTCGTAAACCCTCGCAGCTACGGCCGGGAAACTCTTGTCCACAAAATACATAAAGCGGCTGCTCCCACACCGGGGTTCCGTGGTCAACGCATAGGCTTCACAGAGCCCGTATACGTCAATGCGCCATGGATAATTGGCCCATGACATGAGTCGATATTGTTGCAGATTACTTATGGAATTAACACCATAATGGCCCGCTCCCACAAGTCGATCCGACAATTGAATGCGTGCTTGCCTTAGCGCAGCTTGCGATCGCCCGTTTATGATCATGACACTGCCATTTGGCCAGATCCAAGCCATCTGTGTGCTCCCGTAATGTTTCTCGATCACATCTATGTCGCTGTTATAGACTGCGTCATCCAACTTCTTGACAGTCATCTTTAAATCCAACTCTCTATTCAATTCAAAGGTGCAGAACATGCGCACATATTTGATTTCAATGTCCAAAGTGTCGCGATCACACCTACGCCGTATGGGCCGCATAATCCTTATCTGCTGCGGCCCTTGCTCTGGCTGCTGCTCCAGGTGCAAGGGTAGTGCCGGCATGAGTAACGATCGCTTGATATTGACGACCTGCTTGCTGCGTAGACGCTTGAGCTGCGGATCACGAAACTCACGCGCTTTACTATCTATCGTATCATCCATGCTATGAAGCATGTTTTGGTAGCTGCCCAGCCACTTATCGTCGTTTATGGTCCCCGTTTGCGTTTCTTGCGTCCCCGGCAGCTTGTGCTGGTTTAAGGTGGTGATCTCGCGCTCAAAGTCAATAGCTGAAGATGATGAAGACTCCTCTGGTGAGGTTTTAGGGTCAGATGCTTTTACAACTTGTTGCCATTGGGTCTGGAGTTGCTGGGATATGGCCTGTTCGCATTGTTGCAACCAATTACTGATGGCTATTTCCTCACTTTGGGGCACTGGGTTGTCTGAGTTAAGATTGAGCTTTGTTTCTGTCGGGAATGGCGACGGCACTTCTTCCGGTTTCTCAATATGTTGCTGCACTTCCACTAGCTTCGGCAAGGCAATGGCGGTTTGCTCTTTTGGAGAATCCTTTACCACTGTGGTTCCGTCGACTGTACTACTAGATTCCGCACATTTATTTTGCTTCCAATTGTTTAGGACTGTTTTGTCTATTGATTTGACGGCTGCCCCACTCCTCTGAGTCGGACCCTGTACATTTACCGGCACAATCGTAGGATTACCTGCAGGTGGTATTTGTTTGCTTGATACATTCGCCGGTTGAAGTGGCGGCTTCTGTTGTGCCGACTTGCTTTGCTCTTCAAAAAAAGAGACGAGTGCTTTTGGAGGACACTTCCGCACCTCCTTTAACGGTCCTGCTGTTTGCAGCTTCGGCCTTAACAGCTCGTACAATGCAGCTCCATTCTGTTCTTGGTTTCGGGCCATTGACAGCAAAACGTCAAACTCTTCTATGTCACTCAATGGTTCATTCAAAAGTTCCGATTTGATCCATTCGGCCATGGTACGTTCCTCATCGAGGCCTAATTCTAGGCTGCCTGTGTTTATTATATTGCAATTGCTTTCCTCAAATTGTTGTAAGTTCTCCTGAAGTTTCATTGGCCAATTCATAGATAAATTCTCGATCTCATTAAGTGTCTCAATCTCCATGTCTTCTGTTTCAGACTCGTTGACCTGTTCCTCAACCATTTGGGGTTCAATGGCATTGTTTTCGTTCTGGACATTGTCATCCCGGTTCTTCTGAATTAAGCTGATGGGCCACATGATTTCATCGTCTTTTGCGCCTCGTTGCAGTGCCTCGTAATTCTTCCATATTTCTTCAGAAGAAGGAAGATCCAACGCAACATTATCAGGCAGAGGCGATATAGGTCTGAAATTTTTATCCATTAGCCATTGATGCTCAGGTGGCAATTTTAGTTCTGGTGTTTCAAATAAATCATCTATCTTAGAGGCATGTTTTTCTTTGCGTCGCTTATTGGAAGATCTTTTTCTCGATTTTTTGGATTTTGTCTTCGATGGCAACTCAATTACTCTAACTGTGTCCTTTGAATCTGGCTCATCGTCTTTTGAACCAAAATTAACTACTACACCGCCAATCAAAAATTTATTTGGTATAACTTCTTCAGGCTCGATGTCCAGATTGCCACTTGACGTTTGAATATATATTATTTACAGATTAGTACAAGTGTAGAAGTTTTCTAATTCAATGTTAACGTACTTCTCTTTAGATTGGCCTTCTCCAGTAGGGTTCTTCTTTGAATCAAGAAATGAGCCATTAAACAAAAAATTCATAAGCTCTTCATCTGTGTCATCGGAGCCAACTTCAACCTCAAAATTATCTGGAACATTTCCCACTGGTTCTGCAGCATTCCCTGCTTTCCGCTTGCGAGCTGGCATTGCACAGTTTAAAAAAAAAAAACTTTAATACAATTTAACTTATTTAATATGCGTGCACAATTTTCGATAATAATTTGACAACTGTCAAAATAAGTGTTGGAAAAACTTCATCAATGCTGTTTTAACCAATACTGCAAAATGATTCACGTCACAAGGCTATCTAGCTTGTGGAGTACAGAGTATTTAAGAGTATTTAATTTATCATTCCATCCTTTTTTTAAAACAAAAGAATTTTTAAAAATTTGAATGATTTTTTTTTATCTGCTTGCTTCAACCTGTCATTGACACGTCTTCATCCGACCTCGTTGGCATTCGCATCTGCGCTCATCTCTGAACTGGTCACACACGAGCATGAATAGACACGCATGGACATAATTCCTATGCAAGTGTACAGTAATACACCCGTTACGTGAGTTTGAATATCAAAGGAGTTTAAATTGATCAACAATTTTTTTACTTTTCTTAAATTTGTTAAAATTTCTATTATTACAGAGTATTTTAGAGTAGGGACACTCGACTTTAGTTTTTCCACTTGTTTTAATATTACAAATTCGTTACTTTTTTTAAATTTACAATTATTCTACACATGCTGACACATACGATATAGACTGAAGATTTCAAAGTCAGGAAACCCGACATTAACTTCTCCACTTTGTATTTTTGGTTCTGTTGAAAACAAAAAGTTATAAATATTTGCACTGGAAATTGTTTAAAAGCAAAATATATGTACGCCTGGTCCGAATTACAAAAATTACTTAGTTTTTTTGCTCGTCTGCTTTTGCGCTAATAAAATTATAAACTTTTCAGATACAAGTTTTAGTTTAAAATTCACCACCGCACTAGTCTGTACACTTTGATTTTGGCTACTTTTTTATATTTTCCTTACAGTCATATAGCAAGCAGGTAGTTAAAACTTTTAAATTGAGGATCATTTGTGATTTTAAACGTGTGCGTGTGTGTGTGTGTATCTGTGAGTGTCCTGTGTGTTTTTTTGAGCTCGAGTGTCTGACTGTACGAACTGTGGCAAGTCAATGGGAATAAGTTGCAACAAAAAGTTGCAGCTGCAAAAGTACTCTGTCACTGCTCATTTGTTGCTAATAATTATAAAAGTTTATACAATTCCCGAAGTGGCATACATACGTACCAAAAAAACACCGACAGCAAAAGTTGCAGACAGTCCACACAAGGAACGAGTGTCCCGTCCGTGTCTCCCTGTGTGGGCGGATGATGGTGTGTCTATTGGTGGGACAGGTTGCGCTATCCAAATTGTTCAGCAGAAGTTAGTTTAGCTACCACATTTTTTCATTGTTGTTGATCAAAATGTTTGTAAAGTTTTTAGTGCTATCATTTGAAAAGCGCTTCTTACTCAAATTTCCAACAACAACCAAAAACTGAAATAGTTTTTAAGCTGAAGCCTAAAAGCATTCAGTATTAAATTTTTATTTGCTGACACATAACAATGGAGAGTTATGTACTGTTATTGTTAAGGCGACTCAACTAAGGGTTCGAGCTCTCTACTTAGTCATTTTGCCGCTGGCCCTTGGCCAAGACTCTACAATTTAGGGGGCCACTCGCAAACAAGTCAAACAAAGAACGGGCCAAATTGCCCTAAAAGCCTTTTGAAGTAAAGTTTAGCCTGTTTGTGCATAATTATTTATCTTTGAATGAAAACTTTCAAATAAAACCATCTCCTTATTAGCACCGGTGTTACGAAATTTCTTTTTCTAATTTCTCGAAGTTTGAATAATTTTGAGCTAATTCTTAGCGAAGGTTTCCACTTATTCGGTGCCTGTAAAATGTTATTAAATATTATCTCCATTTCATAGCCAATTTTTAGCTATGTTTTCCATTTGCATATTCGGTGCCAGCTTTATGTGCCAAGTCCAGGACAAATTTATATTTTTTCAATACACCCCCTTGGCCGCCTAAAAGCCGTTTGAAGTAAAGTTTAGCCTGTTTGTGCATAATTATTTATCTTTGAATGAAAACTATCAAATAAAACCATCTCCTTATTAGCAGCGGTGTCACGAAAATTCTTTTTCAACTTTCTCGAAGTTTGAATAATTTTGAGATAATTCTTAGCAATGAAATAGAAGAATGACGGCTACAATATGCAAATTTTGCATCTAGATCCAAGAAAGGAAACGTTTAAGTTTATTTTCTACGTAGTTTTCCATAACTCTTCTAATTGTTTAAATTTTGTTTATTCAGATACATTATTTAAGCGCCTTTTCGGCCTCACGTCAAGTATAATGCTTATAGGTCAAGAGAGTTATGACTATAAATAGAATCTTTGCCCTTAAGTGTGACATTGTTTGATTATGTTCTTGCGTATTATATCGATTGGGTATTATATCGATTAGAAAATGTTATCGGCAAATATGTTGAATTACGTGTTCAAGGGCGTAGGCAGGGAGAAAAATTTTGCCATATAAAGTCGACCATATGTTCATTATTATGACGTATTATTATGACGTATTATTTCGCTGAGTTGGATTTGTTGAAGTTTTTTCATTGATCATATGCATAAGTTATTTTTTAAATGCATCGTGCATTATTTAATCAAAATTTTAATTTTTTGGCCCCCCCCTTTGGTAAAAGCTGCTTACGCCCTTGTACATGTTTTTTGAATTTCAATATTTTGTAGCTTAAATTGGTATTAAGATATATTTTAAACACGCTTTTATTAGTTTTACCCGTTGTTTGTAACGAATTCTTATAACACAATTTTCATCTACTTCAAGACGTCAGGACCGACGACATACATATACGACGACCGATAAGTATAGCCGACGTTGTGGTCAAAAAGTAAACACGACTTTTTGCTTATGGCCCAATACAGGACACAAACAAACCTTTTGAGAAATGGGGCTTATGAGAAAGTTGGCAGTAACCTTGACAGTTGATATTCTTTCAGAATGATTCCAATTTGCTGTGTATAATTTGGAGTGTTTTCTTTGGGGTATTTGTATTCGGAATTTTTAATAAAGGGTCATTTAGTGAGCACTACGATTACGGTGCTCTGTACATTTTCACGTCATCTAGTACGTCTGGCTTTGAACAAGTTAAGTTAAGTTAAGTAAAGTTTAAAAATTCAATTTGTGTAAAGATGTAGTCAATAAGAAAAGGAAGTTATTTTGAGTGATGTGTTTTATGTATTGAGTGGCTTACTTTTTGTGGCAAAACGATGTTTCCATGCTGGATTTCACCCGCTAATGACGTCTGTGCCTTTGTATATTTTATATTGTTTCCCCTGCTTCTGCTTTTAATAAGCGATTCTTTTGACTAGACTGATTTGTGGTTAAGCAATGTTACTAAAGCGCTCCAAAACTGATCTGTGGTGTGTTTAAGATTATTGTGTAGGTGATAGGTTTGGGAAATGGTTGTAGTGGGTGCTTATGGTTTGTTGACGAGCTTTCATTAACCGCAGACCTTCCATTCGATTACTTTAGGAGAAATTAATTAAATATAGATGAAGGACGAGTAGTTGTGTGGGAAAATTTGGAACAATTTGCTGGTTTCATTGGTGGTCTTTGGTTCGCGAGTGTCGAAAGCAGATGAGCAAAGCAGAAATGCTTACGTCAGACCGCGATGAGAGCTGGATTTTAACTCTGTTGAAAATTATATTACTCTATTGTTATTATTTGCAGTTAAAGGTCGCACTTCACAACAAGGCAGATGTTAAGCACTGCCGGAAAGTTGCTTTCATTTTTACTGCGAGAATGTATATAATATATACACGTATTTGCTTGCGTCCACATTTAAACATACAAGTATATGTACATACATAGAAATACATTAATCTTTTTAAATATATACTTACAAAGAAAAATCTGTCTACCTATCCATCTGTGGGTCAGTGGGTTCATATGTATATACATAAATCAGAATTGATCATTACTCAGCAACTATTTGACGCGCATTAAAGAAATTTGGCATCTGCTGCCTTTATGTATTACATACTCACATATACAAATGTATGTATGTATAGGGATTGTTATGAAAGGAAAAAAGTCGAACTAACTGGTCATTCTTAACATTCGCTAATATTTCACTAAGTGGTTTCGTTTCTGTGTACATATGTACATATGTATCTAAAATATCTTTATTTAGTGGCAGAGCAGGGCAATCTACGTATGCTAGATATTAATAAATTAATTTGTTAGTTTTTTTACGAAAACATTGACATATTGACTGTTGTTCTGCTGAATTTTTCTTCTCGTATCACAGTATCTTCGAATGAGCCACTTTTACCGGATAAGAATTGGTATTATAAGTAACTTTAAAGCGCAAATGCCTCGCCTCTATAAACTTAATACATATTAGAAAATACTAGTACAATAAAGCATTGCAATTAAAATAGAAGTCGACTGTATGGCATGCATTTTACACTGATTACTATAATTATTTATGTGTTTAAAACATCGAACGCGGTCTATTATTATCCCCTTTTTTTAAGATCTAATATCAATATATAAAAGCCTCTTGAAGAGGTAATCAAGATATTGGCAAAATTAAATTTATTTTACCAATAATATTAAATAATTTGTGGTGTTGTGTCGAAAGTGCTTAGTCTGCTTAATTCTATTGCTATGAATCTAGTTAGAAGGGAAGGTATGTATATATTTTCGAATTTCTTTTCAATACTCAAAATGGTTAAGACATAAGTACAAGTATATGGGAAATACAAAGCTTGTTCGTTTGATTTAAATAATGCTCTTTGAAATAAACGAAGATTAGATATCATTAAAGGTCATAAACATTTCATTAAGGCAGTGCCATAAAAGTTATATTGAAATGTTATTGCTGAGATAAAACTCAGAAGAATTTGACACAGATAAGTGGAAATGAAGGGAAACGTCTACATGAGCTTGTGTTGTCAAAAACATGCCTCTTTTGTGAAGTTTGCCTCTTGATTGTAACAAAAGCTGAACGATTTAACGATAATATCTGAATGGTAAGTTCAAAAACAACAAAATATGAATTGTTCGTGATGCCAACTGCTTCGCAGCAGAAAAAAAACCAAGCCAGAGGCAAAATCTTTCGACATTTTGCTTAGATTTGTTTTATTTTGGTCATATGTTCTCAGAATATAATTTACACATTCATTGCTACTGATTATGCGGCTGGTTCTTTCTAAGCAGGCTACCTCCATGCTCTACTAAAATAAATCTACTTAGCAAGTGGCTAAGACTTGACTAACAAAACTTTTGCGAAGTACAAGTCGTGGCGTAAACTTTAAGTTATTTACCGGCACATTTGGCACCAACTTACGAGTTGAAGTAAAACCCTTTGGTCAAGTTACCGAATGCACTCGACGATATTTTTGCTATGGCCAGAGCTTACTAACGACTTTTCGATACGGAGCACAAAACTTTGCCAGATAAAAGCCTGAGCTGAGGAGCGACCTGATGGTAAGCCTAATCCCACAGACAAGGAGGTGCGTTTTGGGAAGAAGAAGAGCAAAAGAAAAGGCCGACCCTCTCTTTTTAATAAGCTGCACAAATGTTTGCTGGCAAACAAACAAAGCAAAAAGCCCTAAGTGCAGCACAGTCTATTAAAAGAGACAATGTACTAGCTCTGCGTCTCTGCCTCTGCCTCTGCCGGCGATTTAAAACAAGTTTGCTCAACTAGATGATGGCAGCGTCAGCAGGAGAAGCGGATGCAGTAGGAATAGCAGTAGATTTCCATACTTCATTTCCCGAAACTACACAAACAAGCTCACTAACACATACACACAATCTCGGCGGCATTCAAAATATTTGCCATTTAGTATTGCATAAAGCATAGCGCGTGTAAAATTCATAAATCTTCGCTGCCACCGTTACTGCTGCTGCATACCAGCATGCTGCGACTCGTTTGTTGCACGTTTCATTTGTCAAAAAGGCTTAGGATATTTATTGCCAGAAACGGGCGGAAGCTGTTCCTACATACAACAAGTTATTGGAATTGCGAGAAAAGACAAGACCTCTTTAAAGATATCTTAACAACGCTTTTATAATTCCATAAATCCCATTTCTATACCCTCTACCCAAAGAGGAAATAGGGTATACTAGTTTTGTGCGAAAGTTTGTAACATTTTTTAATATGTTTAATGTCTATTTTTAATATCATATTTTAAACCCGAAGAAATAAAATGTAAGCTGCTTTTTAAATTTATAGGGTACAAGTTTTTATAGCCTGTACCCAAAGGGTGAAAGGCTATACTAGTCTTGTGCGAATGAATGTAACACACAGAAGGAGGCGTGGCAGACCCCACAAAGTATATATATTCTTGATCGGGGTGACAAGACGAGTCGATATAGCCATGTCCGTCTGTCCGTCCGTCCGTCCGTGCTGCATACATACACGTATATAAACACGCATAGACACGTGATGTAAATGTAAAACTGTACATAAAGATGTCTTCTATGTATGTATTAAATAAATTTTCTTAATTAATTTAATACATTAACTAAATTTTTTAAATAGTTTAATTTTTTTTAATATATTTTTCTTAATTTTTCTTTTTTGTGGAGAGTACAGGCTATTTTAGTGTCGGGCTTGCTCGACTGTAGCGTTCTATCCTGTTTCTATATTGAGGACAGCAAATTCAATAAAATATTTAGTTTTCTAAAATTGGCCTTAATATACTATATATAGCGATGATAAGCAAGTGAAGAAAACTTCAGTATAATTTTATAAATAATCTCTCGTCAAACTCTGCTCATAAACATGTGTATGTCTCTATCAGGGACAGTTCGGCTACAATTGTTAATGAAAACTCCCAAAATATACGTCGGTGCCACAAAACTTCGAAAGATTTCAATTTTTCGAACTTCCCCTCCAAGCCAGCTGTCAGCAACAGCTGACTGTCGACGCTCACATTTGACTGACTAGTTCTGTAAAAATTCTGTAACGCACTCAGCTGTCAGAAACATTTGACCGATTAATTGTGTTTAAATTCTGTAACGTACTATGTTAAATAGAAAACAAATATGCCATTTGCATTAATATTAGCCCGCGAGCATTTGCGGAAATGCCAATTAATTTCTGTGGAACCGATAATTGGTTTTGAGGCGAAACTTTGGCGGAAGAGATTTCTGTGACATCCCTGATAGATTTCTAACTTTAGAGGATGTTCTAGAAAAAAGTTTCACAAAAAAATAACGAAAATTTTACGTTAGGCTCCATTTATTCATACAACTCAAAAGCAAAACTAACCTAAAATCATTGGGTATTCGAAAACTGAGCAATTATTGAGGACAGAATATGTAGAGGAGTATATCAAAATTGACTGATTATCGTTATATTTGCAAACATATGACGAATTAATGCTGTGTGCGAAGACTTTTTTGATGGCTCGAGAGATTTTTATCTTCATTCTTATCTTAAATAACGAATGATACTAAGTGCATTAAAGAAAATTGTCAAATAATAAGTATTAAAGACGTTATTCTGCCTGTGCCTAAACTTAATTGATTCACTGTTTATTTCCAGCACATTATAGTTGCATCGAATGGCATCAGTGGAGAGCTGTGTAATGCGCTTTCCATAGCATTAATCGTTCCCGACGCACACATGTGTAGGTTTGTCAGATCTCAAAATTATAACTGACTACCTAGAAAAAGAACAAACAGCAGCAGCGACGGCCATGGCAATGGCAACACAATTTTTTGGCAAGCACACAACATATGCGTCCCGTTGATAAATAAAGTTTACAAATAATAATAATAAAAAAACCAAACACACACACACACAGGGCCCACAAAGAGACAAACAGTCAGCTGGAACGACGTGCAAATGCCTGGCAACGCACCCGAGTATGTAAACAATGACGCTCTGGGCAGGCTCGCTCTGCCTCCTGGTTCTGGCTGCGTTGCAAGCAAGGGAGGAAGGGAGGGAGGCGGCATACACATATGGTCTGGTAATGTACACAGACAGAGGCAACTCCCCAATGAAATAGTTTATGGTAAACCGCAATGCGAAAAATGTCACCTCTTGGCAAAAATGAGCAGAGCAAATTGAGCAGCGACGAGCAGACAGAGACATTACGCATAGGGGGCCTGCCGAAAAGTTCTTTGGCAATGGGACTGGGAAGAGGAGGGCACGGTAGTTGTCCAAGCAATTGCGAATGGGTGTGTCTAGAGTCTTGCAAAGACAAAGCGGAAGCGGCCTATTGGGCACAACAGCGCCATTGTCGCCACAAGCGGAAATGAGCAAAGTTTGCAAAAATGGCACTTCTTACCAAGTCAATACAAATAGAAAGAAATCACATGGACATTTTCTTGCACCAACACCAAAAAATTACAATCGCTGTTTGTATTATTTACATTGTATTAATAAAATTAGTTTAGTATTTATACGATAGAACCTTGCCTTAGCCTAAGTTTGCTCCCTGAGTTGTAGCACCTGCTTCACAAAAACGTTATGTGTCGCTCCCTGTTATCCTAAGGACCTCGTAGCGGTGGTTCCGTAAACTCCTCGTTCTTTGAATCACAACGATTGTCATCCGCTTGGGTGGGCAACACATCCTTAGCAAGCTCAAGCAGCTTGTCTAAGGGGCATTGGAACTCACAGCCAGGCACTGTAAGTTTCTGCGCTGGTGCTTTAGGATTATTACGGAAGTAGATCTCTATCCAATAGTCCCCGGTTTCTTTGTTCTTGTGCAGCTCAAACAGAGCCATGACCGAATATCGCGGCAGCTGGCGTTCCCAAATATTGAGCGCAGAGAGAATGTTCACCACAGTGGAGTCGTGTCCGGTGTAGATAAAGAGTTTTCGCTTCTCCGGCTTTATGGTTGAATTACGTTTCTGTTGCATTTCATCGAACATCTTCCTAAGGAATGGACCGGCCTTGATTTTCTGCATCTCCGGCGTATACACGTTATAAACGTAGCTTTGCTCAGTGAGGAACTGCATCTTCTCGGGAAAATACTCTTTTGTCCATTCTGGCAGCTCAAGGCCCCATTCCTGCTCGGCCAGCAGAGTTAAGTACAGCGATTGGACATCTTCCGGCTCCTTGAAACTAAGACCCGTATGCGCTTCCAGCTCCTTATACATCTCCAAGTAGGGCTCTGCCTCAGCTTTTACCTCAGGCAGCTCGTAAACCTCATGTAGAGCCTCAAAGTATCGCGGACAAGGCGTACGCACCAACAGCAGCTAGAATTATATAAAATAAAATCATTATAAAATCATTTTCATAGTTAATAGTCTAAATCAGAGTAAACGAAAAGTAAGTACCACTTTAAGATCGTTTTTCTTCATTTGTTGAAACAACAAAATCAAATTGAAACAAATTCGCGCTCTATACACAAAAAAGATTGTAATTAATTATTGTAATTATATATTATATTCAAAGAATTTTTGTTTAGAAGTGGAGTCTTATTGTTCTCTTTTAATTAACAAGTTTCTTTACTATTTTATTAATTTGATTTCAAACAAACCGGGTTAGAGATCTGTTTTTATGGTCGTTGCATGTTGCTAGTATCACCAATACATGGTCTCCAGCTTACCGTATCTTCATCCAATGCCTGCGAGAATATCGGAATGGGCTGCCAATTGTATTTGCTGTTCCACTCCATTGGGGTGCCTTTAGGTGGGAAGAAGCTAGCCAGGACTGTCTGCAAAGTCATGTGGGTTCGCGGCACTCCCGTCGCTTGGGCATGCACCAACTGGCAACAAGAAATTGAGTGATGAGCATCAAGCGCAAAGAGAATTACAATTTGTAAACAACCGTGCAAACAGACGCTGCCTGGGAGACAGATAAAGGAGCGGTGTTGGCACCGACATGTATGAAACAACAAGATTGGATAATAAGCCCTCCGACTTGAAGAGGACAATTTGAATGATACGCGCATTAGCGCTTCGGAGAATCTGGCGACTCTAACTTGGGTACTTTTTAAGACTCTGGGTTGGTCAATAATACACATATGTACACATGTATGTACGTATGTATATAACAAACTCGGAAGGACTTTAATGAATTTTATCAAGAAAATGAATACTCAGCGTGTATCACCATGATGTTGTTATCTCTGGTATGGTGTGCTTTATATGAGGATCTCTTTTACTTGTCTGGAAGAGGGAGAGAGAGAGAGAGAGAGGAGCACCACAAATAAAAATTGCGCTTCGCAACATGTTTCTACTGTCGCAAGCTTTCACCCAAGAGCTTTGAGCACGTCTTCCAGTCTAGTTGTTTCACATTAGCGCCGCTCTCGCTTTACTTACATCGGGGCTGTAGTAGGGGGCCAGGAATTTGCCATAGCGCTTTCGCAACCAAGTACCAATGTTGAATAGCTCGCGTTTACCATTCTGAGCGTTGATTTATTGCACGCAGCACAGCACAGCAACAGCACGTGAGACACCAAGTTAGCGGGAGTTGTAGGTAGACAGCGAGAGAAGAAGAGAAATTTCAATGTTGCATATAAAATAATAAATGCCTTGCATTTTTGCAATTGCATAAACATATGCATGTGTATATGTTAATGCATGACAGACACACACACACACACACACACACCCTCTTACAAACCACATATGAAAAAGAGAGAACTTGTGAGTATGAGCGAGACACACGGCAAACATTTGCATTTCAATTTATTTAAATGCTTTGCTGCTCTTCTCTCTCTTTTTATATTTTTTGTTTGGATTTTGGTGGGTGGGTGATTTTGTCTGCGGCAAAAGTTTTGCTGCAACTTTTTCTACTCACTAACATTTGTAACTTGTCCCCATCCAAATGGGTAGTAGGTCTCATTTACATACGGATCCTTGGGATACGTGTCTGCGGGCGTGCGCGGTCCATGTCGAAATACCTGGTGAGTATTGCAAATTGTTCGCATAAATAGAAGGATATGTACAAATGTATTATATACAAAACTAAATTTTCACTTTTGATGGAACAAACACTCTTTAATGAGCTTTAAGCTAAGGTCTTTACCTAATTAACTCAAAGCAATCACTCAACCCTCACGCGACTTGTGATTACTATGTCGAGCTAAATAGCTGATAATGCATATCAACGAACGGAACGCTCGTGCGACCCGTCGCAAGCATGTGCCATCAGAAACTTTAATACAAGTACTATATTCTTATTCCGCCGTGCTAGTCATGCACGGGTTGACATTTTAACGTTACGCTCACAGATTTTGCGGAAGTTTTACAACGTCGCACTGCGATTTATTTATAATTACCGAACTGATAAGCTCGACGGATTGAAGGTCAGCGGTGTCTGTTTTGTTTTGAGTTCAGCGAGTTTTGATTTGGCTAGTAAACCCATTTAGAATAAATATACGCAGTTTTGGAGGCCTCATTTGAAATGTTTGTATACAGGTTTTTCTGCTGATGAGACATCATGAAGTCGAGCTATACCAACTCATCTAGCTGGTTTTTGTATAGCACAGCTGTAAACAAGTGGGAAGACTATGGCATGTATGTATCAGAAATCAAACCTATAAAATTTGTTTGGTTACACTAACATGAACTTGTTTAACACACAGACTATGCTATGGGTAACGTGAATTAGTTAATTAAATTCTAGCAATATGAAAAGTGAAACTGATTAAGAGTTATTTCAAGGTCTATGACATACATTTGTAATATTTCAACCCTTTTTGTTTATACGTACGATGTAAGAAGACAAATACATATATATATACTTGTAAATGTTGATCTGTTGTGATCAAGATAAAATCATATGTTACATATTTACGAAAATATAAGTCACATTTGTAAATAAACACATTTATCCCATTTTTGGTAAAAGTATTAACAGGTAAGTAATAAGAAAGACTTATTTTTAAATTAATAATATCTCTGCATTTGTATCAGTTATAGAATCGTTTTCGACCATCGACCGTAAAAAATTTATTTAAGTTAAGGAAAAAGTCTCATACGAAACATACATATACAAGTATATCAACAAAGTTGAGACAAAATTTTTCGGTCCTCTCTCTATTTTTGTTATATTTGAATTGAAGGATAGTTGCACATCTGCCTTTTAGCTTTTATAAAGTTTTTTCAAAGATTCAATTTTAACTTCTTGACCAGCTAACAAATTTAGCTACTGCTGTGAATATTAATTTTTTGTAAGTAAGTGTCATTTTAATTTAAGTTTAGTTCCATCCAGTATGTGTAACAACATTTACAAGTTTTTTACACAACTGGCTAGATATTATTACTTTAAAAAAGAATTACACAATACCCACACGAAAATAAAGAACATTAATCATCGTACGTGCCGCAAGAAGTATTACAATTTAGAATAAAATTGAGCTAAATATTTTCGAATAGTGAATACACTCTTTGAAAATAAGCATTGGGTCGCTGAATATAGTACAAATGTTTGTTTTTCTTCTCAATTAAACCTAACCAGCGTGGAGAACATGCATTTCATTTTAACACTTGAATAAACTCAATGGCCATAAAATGCCAATAAAAAAAATAATAAATACTTGTGTTTAATGCAGAGGGTTAGTAAATAATTGGGCGCGGAATAACATTGCCAGCTTTAATCGAAAAGATACTGGGTCCAGGATTAAAAAACAACAACGTTTCGTTTAATTGCTAGTTTTGTTTAGAAAATATACAAAATTAGCTGAATAATGATTTCCCAAGACGAGTGACTAGTTTGTTATGAGTACCGATTAATCTGTATCATCATAAATTGCCTTTTCATTTTACACATCAGTTTTAACTCCATTAACTCAACAATTAACTTGATAGTTACAATACAATATTTTTTTAACCGATCACTGCGAGACTCGAGCGCGTATTACCTTCCTCCGCCTCTAATACGGTTCTACTGTTTTACAATTCGCGTTTAATAATACATTTTCAAGGTCTATTACACGTAGCACAAAACGCGCTTATCGCTCGTCATTCGACAGTAGGCTCAGCTCAGCTAAAACGAACTATGTATAATATTATATAATTTTGTGCCCCCATACAAAAAGCTAATGAGTACACTATTCAGCAAAATCGCGCAGTCCATTTGGATGAATAGGAGGGAAAAATAACTTTAATCAATCGAAACACTTGGAAGCAATTGTAATCTTTCATGATATTACAATTTTATCACTTTTTTCGCATTATAGAAAAATTCTAATTTTTTTAAATTCTCTATCAAAATGAGCACACCCTGTATGAGAATAATTGGATTGTAGACATTTTTATCAACTTTCTTGAAGAGTTCAAGGTTTGATTTTGTTTTGATGAAATTCTAATCAAAAGAATATTGTCAACATAACCGACATATAGTATCTACTACACATTTGCAATACACAACTGAATCTCTAATTGTTGTGACTTATTTATTTTAAAGCTATATATGGTAACTTGGAACTGAATATTTAAATATTTGTTTACCATATCTTAAGCCCATCCTTGATGGGAGTCTGCTACTCCTCCAAATAGATTCTATATGGTAAAGTTTGTCAGCCATAGTTTCTCTATTTTCCCCCACTTGGCTAAATCTGACGTAGAGTGTAATTGCCTTGGATACTTTTTTTTGTTGATAATTGTCTGTCGAATGGCGAGTGGCGACTTACCACATGCAGCAACTCAAGCGTAGACTCGTCGGTGCCTGGATCGTTGAGCTTGCCCGAATTAACCGTCGAGTGAGTAAAACACAAGATCAGCAATGCCACTGCAATTAGCCCGCCCGTCATCGCTAGACAATGCTTCCTATTGGAATGCGAACGCGGCATTATAGTAGAAGCGCTTTATATGGCGGGCTCGACTGTTGGCCGCGGCAGCTTTTACGGGCTGCGGGCTGCTCGGCGGCTGGGCGCTCAATGCTGGCCAAAACAAACACACGCACACACAACTTGTTCTTTTAGACGCTTCGTTTTGATTATGCTTAATATAAAACCTCTTAATTTGCAAATTATCAAACTGGTTTCAGTTTCTGTTTCAGAACAAGGCGTTCTTTCATCTTTGTTGACTGATTTGAATATCTTAATGGCACTCTATTTGTCTTTTCAATATAATTTTTTATCGTGGCCTTTCTGGGCAATTACCACTTTATCTGTTGTTATCATAAATTCTTATTTGTCAATTATGTACATACATAGACACATACATACATTTCATAATTTTTTTGCAAGAGAGATTTGTCGATTTTGGAGTTTGCTTGTCTCTCTATTGTCATTTATTATTGTATTTATATTTTTTGACACGCTTCTACGTTGGCGTCTCTTCTTATCAACACTGCCGGAGAACGGTTAGCTCAGCTGTTTACCCAAGCTTCAATTTCGACGAACTGTTGCCATAGCTCCGATGTTGCTATCATTCCATGCTTTAATAGTTCATACGTTTGAATGTATGTAGGTCCATTTGTATGTATGTATGTTATGCCATATGTCTTTTATCGTTTCATTATCGCTAAATGCTTTCGTCACCGTCGGCGTGGGTGTCTATGCTACTCAATTTCTACTCAGCTCACTCGCTAGGTGTTGCTCTCGTTTGTGTTGTTGGTATTGTTACTGCTATTGCGGTGCTGTTGTTCTTGTTGTTGTTGCTGACTGTTGCGTGTGTGTGTGCGTGTGTGTGATTCGCCGTCTATTGTGCGTTTTGTCTGCTGTAAGCTGAAGCTCAGCCAGTATTTGATTGTGCGCCGACCACAACAATGCCCAATCGTTTGAGGCGTTTCAAGACGCGCGCGGCTCTTTAATTTATAAAACACACATTAATATACTTACATATACTTATAAACATGAATGCATACTCGTACATACAGAATATTGTTTGGCAAAAGCCGTTTTAATTTATGCGCGTCGAGATTGTCTGCCGTAATAAATCTTGAATGCTACCCCGCTGCAATCGAACATTATGTTAATTACTCATTATGTTTTAATTGAGTCGCCAATTGCCAAAATTAAATTCAATTTGGCCTTTGTTTTTTGTTTTAATTGTTTCACTTGCGTAACAGTTTCACGGAAGTTACTTTCTTTTCTCCCAATCTGCCTTATTGTAAGCCAAATGCCAATTGTACGAATAAAAGTGACATGCATTTCATCTGATCAGATCCGGGCTACTGAGGACACTTTCATTGTTCAATAAACATTGTTCATTGGTTAATAAGCATTCCCTACAGCTACATATGTACTTACATACATACATACATATCTATGTACCCATATGCGGGCTACAATCTTAACATATGTATGTATGTATGTAGTTCAGTCAGGAAAACAAGTTTTTATAAAAGCATACTAATTGGCTTACACAAATTAAGGTCTTCAATATGTAACCAAAAAAAAACCATAAAAAAAATATAAAATCAAGAATTATCTACGTTTTATTTGGAGCTATGCTTGCGGGTGCCCCGACTTTGAATTATAATGTCTGTCCGTCTGTCCGTCCGTCTGGATGAACGCAAGGATCTCAGAAACTATAAAAGCTAGAATAACCAAAGTTGGCATCCAGATTCTCCTAGGTCCGAGTAAGGACGAGTTTATGTTTTTTTTTTTAATTTTCCCCCTTCCCCCGCTACAGATTTTCAATAGCGTCCACATTTCAAATGCTTCCTAAACCAAACTTTGCACACATAATTAATATATAATTGTCTACTGTTGTGTAAAATTTTATTCAATTCGGTCAATTCTAAGAAAAGTTATTAGCAAAACAAATTCTCGCCAGTACAACCCCCACAAACTGCAGCAACAAGTTCGCTCTTCTTCTTCCTCTTTTTGCTGCTGCTATGGGCGCATATAACTCAGTGACGGAAGTTTACCTGGGTACAGGGTATTACACTGTCGGGCTTGCTCGACTGTAGCGTTCTCTCTTGTTTTAATATTAATATAACAATGAATATATTTATGTATGTATGTATATATGTATGTAGTACTCCAATGTGCATAACAATAATAGAAATTTTAAAAATTTAAGAAAATTAATAAAATCAACGAAATTAAAATAATACTCAACTTCTTAATAACTTCTACCCAATCCCACAAAACAGAACGAAGATATTCTACATTTTTTTTCGTTAATAAAACTAATTAGTGACTATGTTTTATGATAATTGGTCAAGTTGAAAGGAAGTTATAGCCGTAAATGTAATCTCTGCCATAGCTCAGCCCACAGCTGTTGTTGTTGTTGCTGCTTTATACAACTCTATACGCACATGCTCACACACAGAAACGCGTCGAGATAGATACAGAGTATTTTCACTTGATTTATTTTGTTAATTGATTAGCTATCATTATTCTTCTTCTTTATACTTCTGCTATGCACCCATATAACAACGCATGTACAATACTTATTTTGGGTGCAGGGTATTTCACTGCCAGTCTTGCTCAACTGTAGCGTTGTATTTTGATGTGCAATAGTATTAACGATTTTTCTAACAATGAAACAAGCATACATGTATGTACATACTCAAAAGGGTAGAAAAAACATCGACGCTTGTGATGAGTTGCACGATCAACTTCCTGTGCTAATCAAAAACAAAAAAGAAATGCTAGAGTCGAGCGGATCTCAGCTCTTAAATACCCTGTACCCACTCCCTAAAAAACAAATTTGTAATATTTTAAAAATAAATTTTAAGGAAATTAAATTAAATTAATACATAAGTGAAGACAAATGTTTATTTACAGCTTGAAAAGCATACATTTAAATCAAAATCGTGCCTATGCGTGTTTTTGTGCGTGTATGTGCGCAGTACGGAATTAAGTCCAAGCTGAGCTTAGACAGAGATTACATTTATGCCCATAACTTTATTCATAATTGACCTATCGTGGTGAAACTTAATTACCAAATTTAATTTCGAAATTCCAAGAAATAAATTAAAAAAACTTGATCTGCCTAGGGCTAAGGGGAACCTGTTTGGTAATTCTAGCTCTTGTCCTTCTGCGATCCTTTCGGTCATACAGACGGACAGTCGGACATGGCTAAATCGACTCGTCTTGTCATCCTAGTCGAAAATAAATTTACTTTGTGGGGTCTGCCACACCTCCTTGTGTGTGTTACATACATTCGCACAAAACTAGTATACCCTTTTACCCTTTAGGTACAAGGTATAAATACAAAAAAATTTGAAAATGGCGAATAGGGTGTAGTACAATCAACACTAAATCGCGGACCGCACTTCTACTATACTTTTAATACACAAATTTGATTTTACAAATAAACTTTTTTTCGCGACTGTTCTTGAGTTTGCCGATAAATCTATCCGAGCTTAGATTTATTTTATCAAAAAGATACGTTCCTGCTGAGAAGATAATTGTACAAATGGAGCTTTTAAGAATTACTATAAATTTTCCATTTACATCTTAGTTCTTATATACAACGAATTCAATCCAACCAAAACGCTATTTCTATCATTACTAACATTGCATGAGATTTAAGATTGGACTTGGTTGCAGGCGATATGGCTTGAAGCGTGCAAATCAATCAAACACATACGATCTTGTCAAATCATACTATATAAATTATTTTCTGACAAATTTAATTGCTAGATTGAGATTGCATTTTTATATAATCAGAATCGTTTATGTAAGTATATGTTTATTTAGGTATATAGACTCCATACGGTTAATACTGCATCTCTAGTTATATTCTTTGTCCTATTTGTGATAAGCGACCCTCTCCCCATTACTTGTGCCCTTGGCGCGACAAAGTTGTTCATAAGACCCATCTGGCAGCACGTGTTCAGACAGCTCCAAAAGTTTCTCCAACGGGCATTGTTTAGCACAGCCAGGGACCTGCAACTGCTCAGGCTCCCCCTCAGGATCATTCTGGAAATAGATCTCCACGAAGTACTCTCCAGTATCGTCATTCTTATGCAGCTCGAAGGCTATCAGAGCGGAGAAACGTGGCATCTGAGGCTGCCAGACACCAAGAGCAGACAAGATGTTCGTAACCGTCCAATCGTGAGCGCAGTATAGGAACATTCGTCTATCCGAGGGCTCTAAATTTCCATTCGCTCTGGCCTGCATTTGCTCATACATGTGGTCTAAATAAAAACCGCCTTTCAGCTTCCGCAACTCAGGTGTGTAGGCATCATACAGATATGACTGCGCTGCCAGAGGCAACATTTTATCTGGATAGTAATCTTTGGTCCAGTCGGGCAGCTTGAGGCCGTAGTTTTCTTGGGCCAGGAGCGAGATAAAAACATTGGTCACATCATGTGTGTAGGTTACATTCAGGCCAGTCAGTTCGGTCAGCTTTTCTAATAGATCTGCATTCTGTTTATGGAGCATCTTCACTTCCGGCAGATTCAAAACTTCCAGCACCGCCTCATCGTAACGTGGACAGGGAACCTTCATTCGCAGGCGCTATAAAGAGGAAACTGTGATAAGTTGGGTTCTCATATACACCCAAGCCCATTTGGCCCAACATACAATATCCGTTTCCTCAGGCTCAGCAAATACGGGTATGGGCTGCCAGTCCAGCATTAGATTCCACTCCATGGGCGTGTTTCTGGGCGGAAAGAGACCTGCTAGCACCATTTGCAACGACATCATAGTGCGTGGAGACGTTGTTGACTGTGCATGTAACAACTGAGAGGATAGTCATTTAGTATAAATATTTCCAATTATTCCTGGGGAGAAATATAGGTCACATAGCTTACATCGGGAACATAATAGGGAGCCATAAAATCCTTATACCGCTTTCGGAGCTGCTTGCCGATTTTGTAGAGCTCAACTTTCGCATTCTGGAGTAAGTAGGCATTAGTTAAGTAACTTACTTATCTTTTGATATTTACTCACATTGGTCAAAGCGCCCCAGCCATAAGGCTGATATGTTTCATTAATATAAGGATCGTTCGGGTAGGTGCTCACAGGTGTACGTGGCCCATGACGAAAAAGCTGAAGATGAAGAGCAATATATGAAGCTTTTAATAAAAAACAGCAAAAACTAAGACAATATAATGGGGATAAAGATATAGAAATTATCAGGAAAAAAGACTAATCGAAAGTAGAAATTTGATTTATCCCTGATTTGGCAATAAAATTGTAATCTTCAAATCTTTGAATCTTTTTTTACAAAAATATTGTGCGACAAAATGCTCTTAAAATACACAAATTCTCTACAGTGGAAGAGCTAAAATATTACAATTTAAAATTTATTTTATAGTGTAAAAAGGAATATATTAAATAAAGAATTAATATTTCGTATGCCAACAACAACATTCCCAATATATAATTTAGTTCCAATATTTTATGAAGAGAACAGTTTCCATACAAAAACTCTTTCCAAAACAAATCGTTCGCCTGACAGTTACATAATATACTTGTACTGATCCCAAATGCTTTGTCTCGACAGAATGCTTGTGCACACCAAAAGATCTCGTTCTTATTTAATTTTGTTAAAATATAAGCCAAATTCAAAATCTTTTTTATAAAAATATGCCGAGTATCGTAGTTCGATCAGAATATTTATAGAGTCACAAATGCTGACCGCAAAAACAAAAAGCCATTGACTGTACCTATAAAAGTAACTGCAAGATCATGAGTTACATAACCGTGTCCGTACTATATCTTTTTAATTAATTACTCATTTCTACAACAACATTCTCTACATGGAGTTTACTTCCTAAGCCATTTTAGACCAAAAGTTTTTAATTTAAAAACATTTCCTGGCTTCACCATCATCGCATAAGCACGATTTAAAAAAAATATCTGCAATCGTAAAATTCTTTAATAGTGGTCATTTGCATTAAAAATGCCGACCTGCCGAGTTATGGCCAAACTTGTAGGCCAATTCGCAACATAATAATAAAAAAAGAAAAATTAAAGAAAAAAAAAACAGCGGTTCTAGCTATATTTGTTTTAGTAATTGGACAAGGTCGGTCTCTCGCCATACATACTACACAATACTATACATATGCGTCGGCTTCAATGCGATAGCTTTAAGTTTGTGTTACTTTGAAGCAGACAGGCAGAATTGCGATTATGATTCATATAGTCTTGCTGATCATATATGTACATACCTATAACTTATATAAAATAAGTAAAAAGAACATAAAAAAAAGATGCCCTTACACTTCTTAGCAAATGTTATAAATAACCTTTTACTAGGATAGTATTTTCGTTTAGATTAAGCTTTCTGTGAATTATAGAATGTACAAGTACTTCACTTGTAAAACCCAGTACGTAATAATCAATAAAAGTGCCGGCTACTTGCACATTTTAGAAAGGATCCACTGACTTATGCATTTATTTAAGTTATAATTTAAGGTTCTAATTACCACATGCACAAGCTTCAACGTTGAACTGCCATTGGATTCGGTTTCATTGGATCCACTGGTGTCGTTGCCACTTTGATTGTCCTCCGATGCCAAAACCACTGTGGGAGACAACTCTCCTACTGGCACTATTGCCGCCCTGCCGGCCGCAACACAAAAGCAGCTGACTATTAGCCAAGTGACTGGTGAAGGCGTCATGATGTCAAACTTTTTTCCAGTTCCCAAGACTCGAGAGCGAGCTCCAGCGCCGTTGGCGTTTGCGAGTCTAGTGATTGTATTAATAGAATTCGAGCGGCTTTTAAATTGCGACTACGTCGAGAGCGCAGGCGGAGGCGAGTCTGTGTGTAGTGAGAGCTAATGGTAGACTTCTACAGAGACTGGAAGGCACCGTCGCGTCGGAGGGGATCAATCAAAAGCAAAATCAGAATGGCCACCAACAACAAGAAGGCAGACAGTGCGCACAAAAACCCCAAAAATGTTATTTAATAATCCAAAGCGCCTCGGGCCGAGCAATACAATGCACATTAATTATAAGTACGTGTACAAGTACGCTGAAAATAATTCGCACAGTGTCAGAACTTTCACCAATTTGTTGAGTTTAGGTCTGTTAATTTTATTTGTGATTCTTCTATGAACTGCCACCGAGGCATACTGCTGGTTTAATACTGCTGAAGTAAACTGAATACGAGTATAATGCAATCAGCGCACGCCGCCATTTTGATCGATTGGACGCGGCGGCGGTTCCACAAAATTAGCGCCGTGCGCTCGACAGCGCTGCTCATACGACTCGTTGGGCAGCACATCGTCACTGAGCTCAATTAAACGGCTGAGCGGGCACTGCGCTGTGCAGTTGGGGAGCTTCAGTTGCTCCAGACACCCGAACTCGTCATTGCGTAGATAGATCTGTGAGCAATATAGTATACAAGTATAAATCGGCAGATTCTCGGCAGATTTCTCACACAATCTCTCTCACCTCCACATAATGCTCGCCTGTCGCGATGTTTTTGTGCGTCTCGAATATGGCCATCACAGCGAATCGCGGCATTTGGCGGCGCCACAGGCCCAGGGCTGACAAAATATTGCCCACAGTCCAGTCGTGTCCGGTGTAGATGAACATGCCACGATCCTTAGGCGCCAGAGTGCCTGCGCGCTTGGCCACCATCTCGTCGTACATTTTGCGCAAGAAGGGACCACCCTTGATCTTCTGCATCTCAGGCGTGTAGGCGTTGTATACATAGCTTTGCTCGGCCAAAAACTGCATGCGCTCGGGAAAGTATTTCTTGGTCCATTCAGGCAGCTTGTAGCCAAACTCCTGCTCGGCCAGCAGGGTAATGTACAGCGAGTTGACATCCTCAGCACTACCCACGGGCATGCCCGTCAGGTTAGTGAGTTCTCTGAACATTTGCTGGTAGGGCTCTAGCTCGGCGAGCACTTCAGCACGCTTGAATACCTCCTCGCGCGCCTCAAAATATCGGGGGCACGGTGTACGGACCAGCAGCAGCTGTAAATACGCACTTGTAGCAGAAATTTAGATAAACCGTAAGATTGGGGTTGACACATACCGAGTCCTGGTCAAGAGGTTCCGAAAGAATTGGAATGGGCTGCCAATTGAACTGCTTGTCCCACTCCATGGGCGTTCCTTTGGGCGGGAAGAGGCTCGCCAGAACTGTTTGCAAGGACATGAGAGCTCGTGGCGAGGCGGTTGCCTGGGCATGCAGATGCTGCAATTGAGTTATCACTTAGACAGGATTCTCGTTAGAGGAATGCCACTTACATCTGGCTTGTAATAAGGTCCTAAGAAATCGCCATAGCGGTACCGAAGCCATCGGCCCAACTCAAACAGCTCTCGCTTGCCTTTCTGTCGATCGAAAATATAATACATATATAGTATACATACTCGCAATATGTTATGTAGTCAACGACACGTAACTTGACTGTATGTATTGTATTTAAATGAGCCTCGGTGTTATTAATTTGATTTTTAGCGCATTTGATTAGGCACTTATTAAGTATGCTAATTACGATTAACTTCATATAAAATAAGCCATGTGTGAACTTAATTGGCGGCGAATAAATCATGAGTTTCACTTAAACACTAGGGAGGCCGAATTTGAATTGTTCTCTGGAAACCTAAGTACCAGAGCTAATCGGAATCACTCAACCCTTACATTTGTCACATGTCCCCAACCAGTGGGCTGGAATCCGTCTCTTAAATACGGATCGGTCCGATATGTATCCACGGGCGTGCGTATCCCATGGCGGAACACAATGTGGACCAGTTCCAGCGTGGACTGGGTGGTGTTGGGGCGCGTTTTGAAGCACTTGCTGCGCAGCTTGGTGGACGACACGTCCTGCGAGGACTTCACCACACTAATGGCAATTACTGTGAGGGCCACCACCGCAAGACCGGCAATACCCATCGTGAATATTTGAGTGCGCGTCAAGCGTGCGAATAACATCTTGACAAAATTCTGGCTTATATAAACGAATCGAAGCAACCGCCCGCGACCGGAAACAAATGTGCCTTAATTGAAGCCGTAAATAAAACACGCTCTCGCCTCAAACCCAAGCTAAAATTGAATTGTCAACACTCCGAGCTGTCGTGCTTTTGCCAGCGCTACTCAAGTTGAAATAAAGCTCAAGCGTCTAGACTTTGGAAAATTTAAAGATAAAACTTCGCACCTAACGCGTTAAAAATTGCGTCAGTTGAGTGACGTTGACGAGTGACGACTAACTTCCGGGGAGGTCGGGCTTTCCACTGAACTCGGCTTAAAACTAAACCAATTAATTCGCAATTTCATCGAGCTAGGCAATAATTTTGAGCGTGTGCCTGCGATTTGCTTTTTGTAAAACCCCAACGATTGTTGCATGGGCCCCATGGCACCTCTGTCTATTTATAGCCTTGGCAGTGCCGCCCTCTTGACCAACCAGTTTGCAATTTCTTCGCCATAGCGCCCCAGTTGTAATCGCCGAGATGGCGACTAACGTGACACACAGTTCAGTGGCTGCGATTGGTAAAGCCAGCCCTCCCCCCCCCCCCACATACACACCCCCCTTCCAAAACTATCTCAGACAATAGGAGTGCGCGGCTGTTGATTGTTGAAGCAGTTGCTTGATTGTTGCCGCATATGTGCACATTTTTAGATTGTTTACATTTTCAGCACAGACAAACGTACAAGCCTACATACATACATAAATAAGTATATATACTATGTACATTTATGTATAATACTAGTATACATCGTGCATGACGGCAGTGCTAATTATTTGTTCTGCGCCGAGTGAACTTTTAACGCAAACATCGCGATACTAAAAAATATAAGTAGATAATAATAAAATGTTAATACGATAATTGCAGATAATGCTTTATGTATTTTGTTTTATTTAGCGGTTAGTTAAACACAGTCTAGATAATTTGGCTTACGATTTTTATGCCCAGAATGGAGGGGTATTTACATGCATATGAGTAATTCCAAAAACCTTTCAAGTTTGTTCATTTGCATCTTCGTGATGCTGCGGAAAGGCCTACAAAAGACACAGTTACCATATACCGATGTGGAATTTAAGAAGTGCACTTAAAACCCAAAGAAATCAGTCAGGAACTCTTACAAATACCGAAATTTTGTGGCAATAAAGTTTTACAAAAGTTGAAGAGATATAGACATAGCTGAAAAAACGAACGAAAGCAAAGAAAAAGAAGGGAATTTAAAGGTTTCTTAAAGTAAACATTTGCATTTAACATTATTATAAGACGAAGGAGGGCAAAGAACAAGAAGGGAATTTAAAGTTTTCTTAAAAATAAATTAATATTTTCATTTAATTTGTTGAACTACAACAACTAATATAGTATATAAAACCGCCCCATCAATTTGCATCTGGATTGTGTCGACACTTTTTTGTGCAGTACAGAGTACAAACAATGCACCAGCAATTGAAATTAAATCGTTTCTTTCATCGCACAGTATTCTTGAGGAGTTCTCTTTACTACACATATACTATATACTATAAGATTAGAGCTTATTCCGCTCTCATATTGACAAGGTATGCAAAAACAAAAACAAGCAAACAAATTATATAAAACTGTTCTCCCTCCTTCTGTGTCTAGCCCTCAGAGTCTCTATTTGTACGTACTAAGTATACAATACATCAACAACTGCTCGACAACTTTTGTGGGGCCATTATATACTTGTTATTGTTGTTATTATTGTTATTTGTGATTTGGCGCAAACGCTTATAAACTACGACATGGTAAGCCAGTTGCTTGTCAGCACACCAATTTAAAGTGGCTTAGAATGTGGCTAATTGGGAACGCGCACCCTCCAAACGCGTTGAAATTGTTGTTTTTTTGTTTCCGTTTATAATGGATAATTAATAGGACCGTTATGTGGTGTCGTACCGGCCTTTGTAGACTTCCGAAATATGCAATTAGTAGAACTTTTTTTATTTGTGTTTTGTTTGTCTACAAAACATAAAATTCGCACTAAATGTACAGCGAAAATAATAATGGGCAACAATTTATGACTTGTCTGTAGGTACTCGTACGTATGCGCATACATAGTCTTGAACTTTTGCCTAGATTTTGTTTTTACAAGTTGAAATTGTATAACATGATTGCTATATCAGCATGGACACACACGTACATACATATTCAATAACATATAGACGCGTGCTCACTACACACCGTTCACTCAATTCACGCAATTGCCATTTGAATTTCATCAGAAAGATTAGCTTATTTATTATTATTATTACTGTAATCTTCTACTACTTATTAAAACAAAACACAATCTATTTGATATAACATTTGATATATAATTTGGTCATAGCTCTCCCTTGCCCTACTGTTTTGATTTGTGTTGTTTTGAATTCGTCGGTTCGATACATCGTCTTCGAGTGGTTTTAAAATATTCCAATTGAGATTAAAAAACCATTTCGACTTTTTAAGAGACATTTAAAGATGTTCGCCCATCGTTCTATATTCAGTAATCTTCTACTATAAAAATAAGCACAATCTATTTGATATAATATTTGATATATCACATTTCTTTTGCTCTATAATTTTGTTTTTTTGTTGTTTTGAATTCGTCGTTTCGATACATCGTCTTCGAGTGGTTTTAAAATATTCCAATTCTATATTCTGTAATATTTTACTATAAAAATAAGCAAAATCTATTTGATATAATATTTGATATATCAAATTTCTGTTACTCTATAGTTTCATTATTTGTCATCGAGTTATGTCGTCTTCGAGGGGCTTTAAAATATTCCTATAAAATATAAAATATTCTATTGAGATTAAAAAACCGTTTCGACTTTTTAAGAGACATTTAAAGGTTTTCGTCCATCATTCTATATTCTGTATATTCTACTATAAAAACAAGTAAAAAAGCTAAAGTCGGGTGTCCCGACTTTGAAATACTCTGTACATATGTTTACAATAATTATAGAAAATAAAAAAATTAAGAAAATAAAAAAAAAAATTTGATCGATTTTACCTCTCTCGGTATTCGAACTCACGTAAAGGGTGTATAATTGCACATTTACATAGCAATTGCGTCTGTGTGAGTGTATGTATGCCTATGCGCATCTATTCGTGTCTGTGTAAGCATTTTCAACCAAACAGCAACATCAACAGCCGCGGGCAGCGCTTGAGCAGCGCTGCAGCAGCGCTGCATCAGCAAATATATTTATGGCTATAACTTCTTGTTAAATCGGTCTATCATAATGAAATTTGGCATACGGACACATAATAACCAACTGGGGGTATTTCCAAAATTTTAGTTCGAAATTCCAAGAATTACGAGAGTTACGATTTGCGGGGTAGAGGGGGGAGGGAGGGGAATTCCAAAATATATATTTTCTGCGTATTCACATAAGGCATCTGGGACTAAAATTTTGTGTTCCTAGGTCTTATAGTCTCCGAGATATAGGCGATTATACGAATGGAAAATCGGGAAAACCCCCATAGGGGGGAAGTGGGGGGGAAAATCAAAAAAATAAAACAAACTCGTATAGAATACACACATAACGCATCTTTGTGCAAAATTTGGTGTCCCTATCTCTTATAGTCTCTGAGATCCAGGTGTTCATACGGACGGACAGGCGGACAGACAGACAGGGCTAGATCGACTCGTCTCGTCATGCTGATCAAGAATATATATACTTTGTGGGGTCTGCCACGCCTCCTTCTGCCTGTTACATTTTTCAGCTCCCGCAAACCTAATATAAGTACTCTTGTACATTTCATGTACAGAGTATAATAAGCACAATCTATTTGATATAATATTTGATATATCACATTTCCTTTGCTCTATAGTTTTGTTTTTTGTTGTGAATTCGTCGTTTCGATATATCGTCTTCGAGTGGTTTTAAAATATTCCAATTCTAAATTCTGTAATCAATAATACTATAAAAATAAGCACAATCTAGTTGATATATTATATATCACATTTCATTTGCTCTATAATTTTTATTTTTTTTTTATAGCCTGTACCCAAAGGGTGAAAGGCTATACTAGTTTTGTGCGCATGTATGTAACACACAGAAGGAGGCGTGGCAGACCCCACAAAGTATATATATTCTTGATCAGGATGAGAAGCCGAGTCGATATAGCCTTGTCCGTCCGTCCGTCTGTCCGTCTGTCTGTCCGTCTGTCCGTATGAACGCAAGGATCTCAGAAAGTATAAGAGCTAGAATAACCAAACTTGGTTTCCATATTCTCCTAAGACCGAGAAAGTACGAGTTTGAGTTTTTTTTCGATGCACCCCCCCACTCCCCCGCAATTCGTGTTTTTTTCTTATAACTTCCGTAATTCTCGGAATTTTGAAATCAATTTTGGTAGGTACATCCAGTTAGTACTAATGTGTCCGTGTGCCAAATTTCATCATGATAGGTCAATTCTGAAGAAAGTTATAGCCATAACTAAAATCGCTGCTCATGCGCTGCCTCTGTCGGCAGCGCTGCCCGCAGCTGTTGTTGTTGTTGCTGCTTTGGTTCAACTTTGTGCTGCATACATACACGCATATAAACACGCATAGGTACGTGATGTAAATGTATGCTGTTAAAACTAAACATAAACATATATTCTAATTTAATTTAATTAATTAATTCATTAATTTTTTTTTAATAATTTAATTTTTTTTTAAAATTTTTTTTTTTTAATGTTTCTTTTTTTGTGGAGAGTACAGGCTATTTTACTGTCGGGCTTGCTCGACTGTAGCGTTCTTACTTGTTTTTAATAATTTAATTTTCGTCGTTTAAATATTACGTTTTCGCGTTGTTTTAAAATATTCCAATTGAGAAAAAAAAATAGTTTCGACATTTTAAGAGATTTTTAAAGACTTTCGTCCATCATTCTATATTCTATAATATTTTACTATAAAAATAAGCACAATCTATTTGATATAATATTTGATATATCAAATTCCTGTTACTCTATAGTTTTGTTATTTGTCATCGAGTTATGTCGTCATCGAGTTGTTTTAAAATATTCCAATTGAGATTAAAAAACAGTTTCGACTTTTTGAGAGACATTTCAAGACTTTCGTCCACCAATTTATGTAGCTATTATCTTTCAACTTTA